TTTAATACCCGCCCCTGCCCCAGAAAAAAGAGTGCCGAACGCGCTAATTCGTCATAAAATTATAATATAATTTATTTCTCGCACTTAGGTTTACAAGTAAACACTTATTAGTGGAGGTAAGGTTGGAAGTTTGTTGAAGAAAAAAGGAAAGAAATTGAGTTTTTGGTTTAATCCTAAATTGCAATTTTGGATGGAACATAATTTTTCTAAATCTGCCAAAAAATCCTGTTTTTTTGCGCTGCCCTAAACGAGCGCAAAACATATACTTTCAAAATTACAATTTTAAACAATAATTAGTTTTAAAATACTGACTTTCCAAACTAACAATTTTTTGTTGCCTTATTTTTCTAGGTCCCAAAAACTCCGCCGCCTTCAAAGAGGAATGCTAAACGCTAATTGATTTAATCATATGAGATACAATGCATTCCCAGAAAAAGTGCAGTTTCAATTCCACCAAGAACTTTTCATTTTTATGTTACATAATTTTTCTAATCCCCAAAACAACTCCAGCCAATTTCAGCGCTGTAACAAGGGTGCAGAACGCTAGTAGAACTACTACTGTTGAATAAAGAATAATACTCCATTTAAAGTTTTTATGTTACACAGTTTTTCTACTTCAAAAATTTACTTCTTAAAAAATTTTCTACTTAAAAAATCCCGCCGTATTTTGATGCTCGTCACAAAAAAAGGGGAAATCGCCAAATTGCCGACATTCAAATTGCCGACAGCCAAGTTGCCGACAGCCAGATTGCCGACAAGCCAAGTTGCCGACAGCCAAGTTGCCGACAAGCCAAATTACCGACAGCCAAGTTGCCGACAAGCCAAGTTGCCGACAGCCATGTTGCCGACAGCCAAATTGCCGACAGATTATACAAAAGACAGTATTTGGGGCTAGAATGGAAATTTTATGTAGACATTCATATCCAGGAGAATTTCCGGTGGATTCAAAGCACAATTAACATACGAGACGGTAGCCTGCGGGCTCTTCCCCGGAAGCTTCATATACCTTCTCCGCTTCCCCTTCACTGTCTGTCTCTTGGTGTAGTGGTCTAAAGCGCTAGCACCAAGGAAAGGTTCCGGGTTCGGTTTTGTCACGCAGCCAGACCTTACCCAAATTTGGCATGTTAAACAGTCATGCTACTCAAATATACCAAAGCTTAGACTTTGACTTAAATTCACGAATATGTCGGCAATTCGGCTGTCGGCAATTTGGCCTGTCGGCAACTTGGCTGTCGGCAACTTGGTTGTCGGCAATTTGGCTTGTCGGCAATTTGGCCTGTCGGCAACTTGGCTGTCGGCAATTCGGCTGTCGGCAACTTGGCTGTCGGCAATTTGAATGTCGGCAATATGGCTGGAATTCCAAAAAAAGAGTGCTCTATTTATGGGGGGTGACAGCATCCGGGCCAGGGTGGAGAGAGACGGAAGAGAGAGAGAGCAGCGAGAGAGCGCGAGAGGGATGGAGTGGGAAAAGAGGATCGATAGAGTGCTGTGAGGGGGGCAATCTGTGTCTGCACTCTTTTAGGGCAACACTCTCTGCCCTCTCTCCACTCTCTCCACTCTCTCGCCATTATTTGGCAACAGCCTGTGCCCTTTGTGTCTTTGCTGTCTCTCTTCTTTCCCCTATCTCTAGCCAGACACACACAAACATTCCCCTATCCTCCATCCAGACTCTCGGGCCCTCACCCATTGCCCCACACACAAAAACAACATCTGACACTCAATGCCTATTAGTGTGTTGTTTCGTTGGTCTGTTGCTGTCTCTAGCTGTCTCTCTCGCTCTCTGTCTCTCTGCTGGTCTGCCCAAAAATGTCGATAATTTTATTTAAAGTGGCAATCCCTAATAATCTTTGCTAGCGTTCCAGGCTGCCAAGGTCTTGCAAAGCCTTCCCTATCTCTGTCTCTCTCCTCTCTCTCTCTCTCTCTCTCGCTCTCTCTCGCTCTCTCTCTCTCGCTGTCTATCTCTGTGTCGCTCTCTATATACAATTTTAGAGGAAAATGATTACATTTAATCATATTTTATTGTGACTTATATTTAATAGGAAATGGTATAATTTTTAAAATCTGTTTTAGCTGACTTAACTCAATTCGAGCTCTTTTAAATTTTAGGTCTAGCTGAATCAAAAAGTTATAACTTGTCGGGGAACCATGATTTCTCGAAACACATTTTTGTCCCAAAATTTGGATTAGTTGTGGGAGACTTTTTGGCCTGGCGCTCCCGCACTGTTTCTGGCTCTCGCTCTCTCTCTCGCACTCTCTCGCTCTCTTTTTCTCTCCCCCTCTCTCTCTCTCTACCTCTCTCTTTTGTTTAAAGTTTTAAAACATAAAATTTTTGTTTTCCCGTATATGGCATTTTTAATTACGTGTCTAATTACAGCTACGGCTAGTGCGATCCAATATCTAACAACAAAAAATTAAAATATTTCACCGAAAAGCCGGGTTGTAACGGCAAAAAATGGCATGTTTCTTAGAAATTGCTTGTAAAAATCACATTTCTTGTTACAATACCAAACGTACCGTTTAGGGAAGGCACTTACGTAACGTTTAATTTTTTAGGCATAGAAGAAAACCAAAAATAGCCTTTCAAGATCCTGTCAGGGCATTTTAGGAACGTCCCGAACCGCCGGATACTGTGACCTAAGAACTAGCCGGAAACATTTCCAAGTTTTTGAAGCCTCACCGCACTATGTTCCACATTGCCTAGATACAATTTTACGGAAATCCCTCATTCCTCGAAACACATTTTTGCTGTGAAATTCGATGCATAGGGCGACTGGGTAAAATGCATGTTTCTAAAAAATCTTTTCTGAACTGTACCGTTATTGGGGGAATCAAACGCTGTCTCGGGTGTTTTTAAGCCAAAACAAAGCCTTAGGACACAAAAAAAAGTTTAAAAAAATAAGTGTCTGTCGTATAAGCGATTAATTTGCACAATTAAAGGGACATGCAAGGCAATTTCAGTTATCCACTTCTACATATCCGCAAAGATTAACTATGGCACCCTACTTAATTTACGAAAAAAATTGCTGAAACTTTTAAAAAATACATAGAATCGTGAGCTACTATCCAGTTAAAACTGTTCGAGACACCTCAGTTTATCGAAACCTTTTTCCTGCAAAAAAATGATGATTAGGTGAAAAACTTATTCGGCTTTCACTATCTCTCTCGCTCTCCCTCTCCCTCTTGCTCTCTCCGCTCTGTCTCTGTCTCTCTCTCTCACTCTTTCTCATTCTGTCATTCTCTCTCTCTCCCCCCTCTCTCTCTCTCTCTCACACACACTCTCCTTTCCAATCTGTCCTTTCTGTTGTCGTAGCCGGCCCGTCGAGGGGAACACTTTTTTATTGTTTACGCCATCGGCAGCCCGTACTTTCCCAGTGGAAACGGGGAAAACAGGAAGGTTTGCATAAATCATCATCATCAGAAAGGGATTCAGTGATGAGAAAAGCATACATATTTTTGTAGGAACTGATAAAAAACTCGGGTTGAAGGCGATTTTCACTACGAAGCCACTAGAACGGCATATTATAGCTCCCCCGTATCGGGTGGTTAGAGCACTTTATAATAACACATTTTTTCGAAATTTGGCTTTAGCGTTGTTTGAGTTTGACTTACTTATTTGATTCAACTGTTAGTTCAAAAAACCGGTTTTTATACAAATTAAACGATTTAACCTGATTAGCTGCGGTTCTATTGCCGAAACATCATATTTTTTGTGATTTTGTTCTTCTCGGGTATCGGACCCGGCTTTATTCGTTGTAAATTAGGTTTTCTCCGTCAGTTTTAATACCTTTCGACTCCCTTTAGTCTCATCTTTTTTATCTTTTTTTCCCCCATGACTTCTGAGACATATCGGAAACGTTGTGCTATATGGTTAAGAATTTGATTTATCGTAACCCTCATTTTTGTCTTTTTCTCTATCTTTAAAATACCTAAATTAATTCTTTTTGGGACGAAATGTCAGTCACTTCATTATCGGACCACATTATCAAAAATTATAGTTCCTTTTGTCGGCTTGTTAGAGCACTTTGTGTAAACACATTTTTTAAAATTTGACGCGTTGTTTGAGTTTGGCTTAATTCTTGGTTCAAGCTTAAAAAGGAACTTTCAACTGTAAATTGAAGAAGGCCTCAAGCCCACACGAATTGAATGGTTTTCCCAGATTGTCTGCAGATTTTCGTCTGAAACATCTTATTTTTTCGTTTTCACACCATATCTAAATTAATTATTTTTCGAAAACAAATGTCCGCCGCTTCATTTTCGGACAGAGTGCACAAATTATAGTTGCCGTGTCGATTTGTTAGAGCACACTGAAAAAACACGTCTTTTTCAAAAATTGTGTTTTTTGGTGTTTGGGTTTGTCTTCATTGTTTGATTCGACTTTGCACGGCCTTGCCCTACGGGAATTAAATGATTTCCCCGAGATGGTATGCAGCTTTTCGTCTGAAACATCCTAGTTTCTTTGTTTCGTTTGGCGTTTCACGGATAGCGCACTCGGCTTGTTCGTTTTGCACCATAACTTAATTAATTATTTTACGGGAACAAATGCCCGTCGCTTCATTTTCGGATATAACTGCGAATTATAGTTTCCCGTGTCGGTTTGTTAAAGCACACTGTGAAAACACGTTTTTTTTTCAAAAATTTGGGGTTTTCGGTGTTTGGGTTTGACTTATTAGTCGGTAAATTGAGGGAGCCTCTACCACACAATAATTAAATTATTTAACTCGTCGGTCTGCAGCTTTTTTTATGAAACATCCTATTTTTTTTGCGAGATTTGGCTCTACTCGGGTAGTTGACTCGGGCTTATTTTTTAAAATTTGCTTTTTAAATTTTTATATTTTTCGACCGCCTTAAATCGGTCTTTTTATTCTTTCTCATCTTTTCCAGAGTTTTTTATATTTATAGGATGTCTTTCTCGATTTTCATAAATATATTTCTATGTAACCTCCGTTTCATTATTTTTCTCTATTTTTAAGATACCTAAATTAATCGTTTTTCTAGACCAGATGTCCGTCGCTTCATTATCGGTACGTTTCCGTAAATGGGAAGACGTACTCGTGGAAGGGTGGCTGCACAAAAGAGGAGAGCATATCAAGAATTGGCGGCCACGGTGGGTGCTTTAAAGGGACGTGGAAGGCAGATAAATAAAATTTTTGTACTTGTAAACTATTCTTTTGGATTTAAAAATATATATATTTCCTACTTTGGCGGCCGAATGTTGAAAAAGGATTAACTCATCGTGAAAAGAACCATTTTTCAAAATATTTTTTTGTAACTAGACGAACAGTGGTAAATTAGGAAAATATCATTTTTGTTGGCTGGGCGATTTGTTGAAACATATGTGTATCCAGAGAATGTTTAATTGAAATGAATCGGTTAGTTAATGCATAAAATTCCAGATGGGTTAATTAAATTAAGTAAAGAAAATTCAATTAGCCTGAGTTTTCCAGTTTTCACTACTAGCTCCCGCAGCGAACGCCTTTAAATGGATCTAAACATTAAAGAAGACTTGAGTAGTTCCTAGCAATTTTTATCGTTCTTACAAATCACATATCATTGAGATAAATTATTATCTGTTTATTATAAATTTAACTGTCTTTGGCACCGGAAAAATGACATTCCTAAGCAGTGACCGACAAAAGTCCAATAAAACAAATTCTAACTTTTTTGCTAGGGAGTTCGCAGAAAGATATTTTTGCAAGCGTATAAAAGATGAGCCATCTCTATATTCAATTAATTTAATGAATTTAACCTCCATTTTCAGTTACTTCGTGCTCTTCCGCGATGGTGCCCTGGTGGGCTTTAAATCAAAGCCCGAGCACGGCCAGCCCTTTCCGGAGCCCCTCAATGATTTTATGATCAAGGATGCGCAGGTTTGAATTTGAAACTTTTAACAAGACTTGGTAAGCCAGCAGAGATTCTTTGAGGAAATAAAAAAAAAACTCGAATAATTGAGGATTTGTGGTAGGCTAGCAGAGAGCTTTCAGGAGATGGAGAGAGAGAGAGCGATGGAGAGAGACAAGGAGAGAGAGAGGCTGAGAGAGCGAGAGAGAGAGAGAGAGTGAGAGAGAGAGAGAGAGAGAGAGAGAGAGAGAGAGAGAGAAAGAGAGAGGGAGAGAAGAGAGCTTTGCAAAACCTTGGCAGCCTATTAGAGATCCTTTGGGAAGTTGCCGTCGTTAGCTACATAGCTAGCAGAGATTATTAGTGACCACGACTCCAAATAAAATTAAAAATTACCTTGGTTTTCCAGACGGGCGAGCTAGCAGAGATCATTGAGGAGATTTGACCAGTGGTTGGAGCAGTTTATTTAATTGAGAGCTAATCTTAAGAGTAAATTAGAGCAAGCTAGCAGAGATCGTTTGGGGAAAACAACGACAATATTAAGCTATTTCCACGGGAAGAATAGAGATTTGCACTAAGGTAAATAAGTGAATTCATGCGGATTTTCGATACTAGCTGTTACTGTCCCTTTAAACGTTGAGCGGCCTAGGGCAGGATAGCAGAGATCATTTGTTTTTTTGCTGACACCATCCCTTTAAAATAATTTTGTTTTGTGAAGGTATGTACCCTGGAGAAACCGCGAGCCAACATGTTCATGATTCGATGCCTGCAATGGACCACGATTATTGAGAGGACGTTTTATGCTGATTCAGCAGAGGTAAGAACGGCTCTTGATTAATGGCATGATTCGGAATTTAGGATCAAACTGTTTTAAAACATTTTTTTCAAAGCTTTACCGGGCTTTTGTATCATAATGGTGCTTAATAATGTATATACTTAAAAAATTTAATGCAATATATATTTTGATATTTTTTGTATAGATATATTTTTAATAACCTTCTTCCTATAAAACATTATTTTTTTCAGACCCGGCAACGCTGGGTGGAGGCAATCGAAAAGATCGCCAGCACGTACAAGGCAATGATGGACGAGGGACAGTCGATGGATGAAGCCATGGATATCGTGTCGCAGGTACCGTATTTTAACGGGATAGTGAAGGCAGGAAAGAAAGGAAGGAACACGCTCGGTGTGCCGGATTACGACTGACTTGAGGCCCATAAACATCAAAATTTTTTGAAACGCCTTTTTTGATACGAAAAATTTTAAAATTCGCGAACATTCACGCTCGGAAGATTCTATTCTTGAAACTATTTTACTTATATTGTACTGAATTTATTTTAGCTATCTAAAATGCTCTGCCTAAAATTTTCCGGACATTCTTGATTTTGATTGTTACGGATTCTGATAGGGACTGCGCAATGTACATATTGTGACTAACTTTAGCCCAAAAATATGGAAAATTTGTGAAACACCTTATCCGTGCGAAAAATCCGAAAAATCCGAAAAATTCTTGAACATTTACGCTTCGAAAATACCGTTCTTACTTGCTCTTGCTTTTACTGCCTTAGCTTAGCATACGCACAGAGTTTTTTTTCGATTTTAAGTGAGTTTTAGTTATAGAAAAATCCGTTGCTTAAAAAATTTTTTAGCCTTCAATTCCAGCAGTATTATCAAAATTTTACTTGTATTCCTTGAAATTCCAAGAATTCAAGACAGTTAAGCCGTCCAGTGGAAGGTAAAGGCAGTCGGGCTACGGTATTTTAAAGGGATAGTGACGGTAAAAAAGGGATTTCATCGCCGCCCAGTGCCGACCACTATAAGGCTAAAATATAACGAAACCGTGAAACCCCTTTTTCTTTCGAACCTCCCTTCGTATCCAAAAAATTTCGAGCTTGAAAATTTCGAAGGCCTCTCCCCGATTTTTATGACGTAACTTGTTACGGCTATAGAAACGTACCATTTTAAGCTAATAACGCCAATATCTCAAAATAATTTGCCGCAAAATTTGATGCATTTTCGATCCAATAGCGTGGGTATTTGGCTTCTGGTTCTGGTTCATTAGCGGGGGGGGGGGGGGCGGGCACGCCCACCTTCCTTTCTAAAAAGGCCTACTGGGGGCCTATTGGTACGTTATTTTGAAGGAACAACACATCAGTCATTTTACGGTCCAGAAGGATTGTCCGATTGGGAATACCAGGAATCGCAACATACCAAAAAGTATTGGAACATTTTTGTTTCGGAAAACTAACCAAATCCATGAACATCGAAAATTACAAAATTCCGTCTTTTCAGCTACATTTTAATGGCGTAATCGTTTACTAGCGTGGATACTAAAATACTAACATTACCAAAAAACCGATATAGCCTAAAAACCCGAAAAATGGGCGGGTAATTTAGGTTAGGTAGTAACTGACGTGTCGATCCCTTCAAATCATCGAAAATCTCTCTTTTTTGCGCCGAGAAATGTTTCATTTGTCGACCTCGTCGAGGGCGTTTTAGTGCTTAGTTATCGTTATTCTAAAACTTTCAGGTTTCCGGTGACGATGTGTCGGCTTCTGGCTTTTCGATGGCTTCAGAAGTGGCCCCAGGCCAAGGACCATTCCCTCAACCCTCGATGGCCACCGAAACCCTGGCTGATGCTTCTGATGCCGCACGTCGTGACCGAATTGTGAGTTTCACCCATTAACGGTTTGGTTTCGATTTCGCGGAATTTAATTCGACACCAAATACCAATCCACGTATACCTCCAACAGAACTATTTTTTTTCAAAAATAGTCGAACAGCATTTATTAAATTATCAAGAAAACGGTGATATTCACAACTAATTAAAGCATTTTTTCTGACGGAACCGTGTGTTTGTCGGGTTCTCGCGCATTAGCGGGCGGACCAACTTTTTCTGAGGATCTAATTTTTTCATATATAAATAGTGGACGTGTTTCTAAACGGTTTTTTACTATTTTTAAATGTGGACACTTCAAAAACTTTTATTAAAAATTCGAAAATATCGACTTTCGACGACTAATGACCGAGTTCCGAGATATGGCGAGATCCAAAGTCAGCAGTTAGTAGGTCGACATCAAACACGAAACTTTCTAAAACTTTTGCAACATTTTTTTCCCTGCCCGGAGCTTATTTATTAACCAAATTTAATTTTTTTTGGTGACTTAATACGAAATTAAAGACCGCTCAGAGCGCAAAAATCAAAAAAAATCTGTAACTTATTGTACCAATGCATTTTGGAAGCGATGAACCCGTGCAAATAAGGAATTTTTGAAGAATTCAACCGAGACGAATTGCTCTATTATGTCGTAAATGGTGTATTTTATCATGAGAAATCCTGAAACATTGATTTAAAAAGGCCTGCTTCACTGGCTTTGGTGCTTCCGTGTTAGCGGGGGAGCAAGGAATAATTTTTACGCGAAGGCGTTTCCAATAGCATTTTTACAGTATTTTACGCAACAAAAAACACAAATACGTATACAACCGCTTTCAAAAAAATTCCAAAACTTCAGGAAACACTGACGTTTAGCGCTCAAAACGTATGAAAAATGACAAAATTGGTCAGAGATTTAGGATATAAAACAAAGCTATAAGATGTTCTCATAGTATTTTGTGATCAGAAACTACGAAAAAACTTACCAAGCTATATTTTAATTCATTACTATGCTTCATCATAGGCTTAATTAAAAAATTCGTCTTGCTCCTCCGCTGGCGTTATAAAATGCAGTTAGTTTTAATTTCAACCTCAATTTGTTGATAATTACCGCGATTTTAAAAAATTTAGACGATGGACGACTTTGAATTCCTGAAAGTTCTCGGAAAGGGGACTTTCGGAAAGGTGATCCTGTGCAGCGAGAAGAGAACCAGCCGCCTTACGCTATCAAGATTCTGAAGAAGGAGGTCATCATCGCACGGGTCGGTTTTTAGATTTATTTAATGGATTGTAGGACATTACCGTAACCCCAGATACTTTTTAAAGGACTAGACAAGGAGACTAAAGATATTGGAATACGACGAAAAAACCCATGCGAACCTCTGCTTTTATTGTAACACAAATTTTGAGGAAACACAGTTTCAAAAGATATTAGCCGGTCGCCCACTTAATATACCTTTAACAGGTTACAAAGTGTCGAACATCAAAATGTCGAAATTGATAATATCGAAAATCACGGTGTCGGAATTCAGAATCTCGAAATTTTCATAAGCGATCTCCCGGAAACGCCCAATCCTATGCGAAAAAATGTCGGCATTCGGAATTTCGACACTATTAAATTTCAGCGTTATGATTTACATTATTAAATCTCGACACTTCGCGGCCGTTAAACATTTCTCGAATTAAAAACAAAAACTGCGCAATTGAATTTCAATTTTGGTTAGATTTTTTATGTTACGTAGTTTCACAAAAATCGATGTACACAATGCGGTTCACAAGGAGTGCGAATTTCTGAACGCAGGCAGCAATAATTTAATGACCTTTTATCAACAACACTGGAGATCCAAGTATTAGCAATCCAAAACTGCCACTACCGTTATTTTTTTGCGAAACTCATTTTTTTAAATATTTTTTTTAGGAAGAAGTTGCGCATACCTTGGCGGAAAATCGTGTTCTTCAGCGGTGTCGGCATCCATTCCTTACGGTAAATTTAGTTTTGAAAAATTGCCAATTGAAAAAATTGATTTTTTTTGGGAAAACTAGCTAGGTAGCATGGATCTTTGAGGAATTTTAGCGCGCAGGCGTTGGGCAAACTAGCAGAAATAATTTTAGGAACCTTGGATGGGTAGCCAGCAGAGTTTCTTAGGGAAATTTTTAGCATGTGTTTTTCAACAGTTTTTCGAGAAGTCGAGAAGCTTTCTCGTAAAATCAGTGTCACGAAGTCAGGGTTGTCAGTTTCTCCGAAGTCTTTAGCGTGCGGCAGGTTAGCAGAGACTCTTGAGGAATTTTTAGAGCCGCTTAAGCAAGCTAGCAAAAATCCCTGAAGGTAATAAACAAAAAAAAATTAAAATTAAAAATTGTTACTTTGCTAAAAAATCAATTAATTAAAAAATGTATTTCCATATTTATCGATGAAATTCCAGGAACTGCGCTACTCTTTCCAAACGCCGTTCCACCTCTGCTTTGTGCTCGAATTTGCGAACGGCGGCGAGCTGTTCACCCATTTACAGGTATGTCTCTATACGACTGCTTATTGATGCCGATATCAAACAGCCCAAATTGAATTTTGCTAAAACATCTTTTTCAAATCGAAAATTTTCGAAGCGGAAACGAGAAGCTGAAATGTTTCCAAGTTAGTTAATAACTTTTAAAGGAACGGACGAGGCTTTTCTATGGGTTTTTGATTTTTGAATATTCTTCTCACTTTTTACAATTGATCTCTAGCTATTTCTTATTTGTTGCCTCGCTGCGCCAAATTACATTGAAAACCGCACCTCGATGAAGCATTTTGCTATAAATAATGCGTCCCCTTTATTCAGTCTATTTTTAGCATATTTACGGTCCAGCGATAATTTAAAAATCTAAGAACCCGGTTTAACCATAAAATTCCATAATCGTTAAAAATCGATAAACTTTGGACATGAAAACGAGTGTTACTCGACGGTTAGCGAGGGGCGGGGTAACTAATTTTGTTTTTACAGCTATACCCATTTTTTAATAATAAATGGTATCATTTAATAACGTTTTTCGTCGTTTTTGATTGTTAGAAAGCGTCTAAAAAATATGTTAAACATTTTTGAAAATTCAAAATTTTTCGTTCTATGGGAATTTTTTATCCATTTTTTACTTGAAAGTCAAAAACTGATGTTCAAAAAATAATACGGAGATCAGCAAGTTCAATTAATTGCGCCCTAAGAGGAATTACGGCAGAAACAAAAGGCTGACCTCCCATTAAAACAATATTCCAGAAATGCCGTGTATTCCCGGAGGCTCGTGCTCGATTCTACGGGGCTGAGATCGTGCTGGCCCTGGGATACCTTCATCATTTGGCGATTGTCTACCGTGATATGAAGGTATGCAGTTTAAAGGGACGGTGACCCTTTGGCTTTAAATAAAATTGAAGAAGATAATAAAAAAAGAGAAGATAGAACGAGTTGCTCAGGACCCGATTGGCCCTCGTGGGAAACATTAAAAGTTGCCTTGTCACGGAACATATTTTTCTAGAAATATCTGAGTTTTGCTCGGAGAGTTCCCCGTGTTTTGTAGGTAGCTAAATTAATTGATTATTATTTTATCGTTATTTCCGCTTTGTTTGTGTCTTTCAAAAACCAGAAAACAAAAAATTCATTGCAATAGAAAGATATAACAAGAGACGACTCGGAGTGAAGAGCGCATCGATCTATGCCACGTGCGCATCGATTTCGTGCACAACAGCTATATTTTCAGGGTATAAAAATCAAATTTTTGGAATTTAAGGCGTTTAAAAAAACAGCAAACAGCAGTAAAAATGGTTTATAGTTTTTACATTTTTATTTTCAGCTCGAGAACCTGCTGCTCGACAAGGACGGACACATCAAGATTGCTGATTTCGGTCTGTGCAAGGAGGACATTTCATTTGGGGACAAGACGAGCACATTCTGTGGAACACCCGAATATTTGGCACCGGAGGTGAGATATGGATGAAAAAATGCGTTTCATAATTTTGTAGGTTCGCAAAAAGCAGTTTTTTGGTAATAAGGTGATCTTTCTGGTCTTACCGTTAGTTAAAAAATTTTTGGAAAATACAAAGAGATAAAGTGCTAGCCACTACTATTCAGTGCGAAACTAGCAACCCTAGCCAATTTTTTGAAACTAAACTTTTTGTCGTGGCTTCATGTTCATGAAACCCACCAGGAAACAGTGGGTTTCAAGAATTTTTGGGATTCATTCTTATTGTGGAGGCGTAATACGCATAAGCCTTCCTTGATCTAACTAAAAAACTAAAAATCGCAGTAGCCATCTACACGTAAAAATTGATTTAATTTAGTCCCCCAAAACTCTCGCGTACAAAAATCCAATAAATTAAGAAAAACCCTTTAACACCGAACTATTTAGCTGTTCATAAATTTTTGAACATAAACTCTGAGAAATGGAAAGCACGTCCATGAGAAAGATTTTTTGATAGATTGAAAAGTTTTTTAGAAATCAAATTTATTATCGCAAACAGACCACCAGGAAATTAAAGGCTGTTCTCTTAACCAACGGCGAACCATTAAATGCAACAATCTTTCTGGAGCTATGCCATTTTTTGAAACATTAAAGACCAAAAATTTTCAAAATTGTTAAATTTGGTGTCTTAATGAGGAAAACAAAAGTAAAGAAGAAATTTAATAAGAATGAATTAACAATTACATCGGTTCCGGATAATACACTTTTTTTGAATCATTGAAAATCCAAAATTTCGAATCTTTAAATTTTGCGATTTAGCGAAAAACAATAGTAAACAAAGCAACCAAAAATTATCCATTATACAACTATGAGCAATTGGGTTTCCGCATAATTTCTGGGTTATATAATTATTGAAACATCAAAATCGAAAATTTTCAAATTTCGCAAATTTACGGCTTTAGTGAGGAAGCAATAGTAAGAAGAAGAAAACAAAAGTACCGATTACACAAACAAGAAGAGATTATATTTAAACAAAATTCCTTGGGTTGTACCATTTTTTGAAAGACCAAAAATCTATTAAAATTGACGAAATTCGCTACATTGGCGATTTTGGTGAGAAAAAATTGTACGCATGGCAAAAAAATACCAATCAGCAAAGGGATGGAACATTCATTAAATAGCAACAAAATTTCTGGATATATGCAATTTTTCGAAACATTAAACTTTTGAAAGCGACAATCTTCAAAATTCATACAAATTTAATTACAGGTGCTGGAAGACAACGACTACGGCCGTCAGGTGGATTGGTGGGGAGTGGGAGTGGTGATGTACGAGATGATGTGCGGGAGATTGCCCTTCTACGCCCAGGAGCACGAGCAAATGTTCGAGCTCATCATCCGGGGCGAGCTGAGATTCCCGTCCCGATTGAGCCAAGAAGCCAAATCCCTGCTCACCGGGTTGCTCGTCAAGGATCCGCTGCAAAGGTTAGTGTTCTGTCTATATCGAGCGATAATGCAAGTAAAATTTCTTTCGCGAATCATTAAATTCCATGAAACATTTTAATCTAAAAATGCAAGAAGCGTCGAAACCTCAAACAAAATAAATCATATTTTTTGTTGTCGGCCGCTTACTGTAAATACATTCAATTCATTAGTTTTTGCAAGTTTTTAAAAGAATTATTAAGCGGTAAAATTAAAATAGCCTTATTAAGGGAACATTCATTAAATTCTTGTAATTTTAATACGTGAAACATTTAATTCTGAAGAATTTACAAGAGATCAATTTCAATTAAAATTTATGATTAAAGATTTAAAAAGAACAGATTTTATTGTTGGTATTGTGGCTTCAAATCATTAAAATCAACAAACGTTTGAGTTTCGTCGACCCTAATTATCAAGGAGGAGGACTTTTTATTGGAGTTGCAACCAAGACCTTACGTTCCTGAAACTGCATGAAACACCGAAATTCCAAAAGCGTTCCATGCCAAGCATTAGAAAATTTGAAAATTGCATACAAATAATGGCATAGATTTGATTTTAATCAATCTTTCCAGTGAGTTATTATTAGAAACATAAATGAAACTGCGCTCCGGTTTTTGTGGGAAACTTCTGAGGCCAAGATTGAAATATCGGGATTGCTCCTTGAAAGTCTGTGTGAATTCACAGCAACCCATAAACGTAAATTTTTCAATTTTTGAAATCGATTAGAAATGCCAGAAACATTCAGCAACGTTCTAAAACCAAATTATCTGTTCATGCTGATAATGTCAAGACGTTATTAATTAGTTATACGTATCGCGTTTCGTAATAAACCGTAAAACATTCATATTTCGCCCCAAACACGATTTTATAATTGATAGGAAATTATCCAAAATATTCCAAAACGGGTCGTCTTCAAAATATCGAAAAGCATAGTGTCGAAACTTAAATGCCGAAATTTTACTAATATTTTGGGGGCGAGTCAAAAACAAAAGGGGCAGCAGAGCAGCAGAGCTGCCCCGGACAAGGCCGGGGAAAATTCTATCCTACTATATATAAAAAAATAGTGTCTGTGTGTGTGTGTGTCCGTGCCACTTTGCATGCAACTTCCGTCAGCGTGTTCCAGCACTATCTCAATAAGGTGAATAGTTAAGGGCATGTTTGGCACGTCATTAGGCGCGCAATTGCCTGAGGATGACTGCACGCAAATCAGATTTATCAAAAACGCCTATATTCGACATTAAAATTAAGATTTTTGTTGAAAAACCGGAGACCCTCTTTGCTAGGAAACAATTAGCATACACCGGAAGTGGCGGTAGCCTATAAAATGGTAAAGAGGGAGTTTTTGTCATTTTTCGGTGAGAATGATGCAGAGACCAGCGCCCAAAACCCGCTTCGCGGGCTTTCGGCGCTGGAATGCGGCCTTTGCGTGAGAAATTTGACCTTCCGATAACTCGGGTCCTTCGGACCCCTCCTCTACCCCGATCACACTCGCGCGTGTGTTCCAAGAATGAGGAAATTTGTATTTTTTTCGCATTAGACAAATTAGTCCTCCGGGGCCCCAAAAATGAGCCGGACACACACACAGAGATACACCCCAAAATTATACAAGGTAGGATAGATATGATGGGGAGATACGAGCCCAGGGTTAAAAAGGCGCAAAGTACGCCCGACCCCGGGAAAACGCTCATCCCTGGATAACTGCACCCATATCCGACTTTGGAAAAAGTGTCATTTTCCATATTACCGTATTTCTGTATTATGTTTTGATTGCCTTTAATCTAATTTGCTCTAAAATTCCCTCTGATATGTGGGATATGTTTTTCGTGATTTTGGGCAATTTTAACGATTTCTATCATTTCAAACTGCCCAAAACAGGGGGGGGGATAGATTAGAGGAAATACGGCAATTGAAGTTTTTTGTGACAAAAATTACCTCAGATTGTTGTAATGAAGTAATTTGCATCAAGCGTCGCCTAGGGACAAAGGAATTGAATTTGATTTCTCGGAGTTAGAATACGGATACGCCCTGGCCTTTGCATGGCAGTTTTCATATAAAAGAAGCTGAAAGAGCGTGGGCAGTCATCTTCAATAACCGACCACAGCCGTGGCCGGTTATGCACCTGCTGTTCGCCTTCGCCTTCGCAGGCTTGCTGCTCATGGACGGGAAGGAGGACGGCCGCCGCGACGTCACCCCCATGCTGGATGGGCGTCACGTCAGCGACGCTCCGCGCCACCTGCCTATTCCTACTGTTTCTTTGCATTTTTCCGGCCGTGCCTCCCCAGAGGATATTATCCGCGTTGGGATGAGCCAGAACCGCACCACAGGGGGAGAACGAGCCCACGAGGGCGAGTTCGGAACCCAACCCACGAACGGTGGAGGAGGAGCCCTTCGGGGTGAATCCAAAGCCAACACAATGAACGGTGGAGGAGAAACCCTTCGGGGCGGTATCCAAAGCCACACAATGAACGGTGGAGGAGAAACCCTTCGGGGCGGTAACCAAAGCCACACAATGAACGGTGGAGGAGAAACCCTTCGGGGTGGTATCCAAAGCTACACAATGAATGGTGGAGGAGGAACCCGCAATGGCGAATCCGCAAGCCAAAACATTACGGCCGATATCCCGACCATCATTAATACGGCAAGCGTGGCGGATGTCTTCGTACATCCAAATACAATTGTTAACGGCAGACTCCGTCATGGTTTTTTTCCAGTCCTACCAATGCAAAGTGGGGAAGTAACCCATGAGGAGGAACCGATAATTCGAAACGAGCATTCTCCAGGCGCCGCAACAACACATTTTTTGAATGAATCTCTTCCGGGGACAACGTTAACGGATGCGGTAGAGGAACTGGAATTCAGTGACCCTGATGAGCCAGGACCCTCCACGCGGATCCGGAAGCCGTCCAAGAAAGAGAAAATGCGCGCTGCAAGAGCTAGCCAAACACAAGATCAGAGGGAACAAAAATTAAGTCAGAGGCGCCTTACACAGAAGCGTGCCCGGGAAAAGATGAGTGCCGATGAAAGAGCTCGATTTACCGAACAACAAAGGAAACATCAGCAGAACTCACGACTTAACAAGATGCCGAAACGTGATATGGATATCATTCAGCAAAACCAACCAACTTCCTCGGGTTTATTTCCGGATGAATCAGATTCAATTCCGGTTGACCGCACCCAAAGCAGACGAAATGCAAAGGCCGCATTTATGGTTCAAGTACGCCAGAATGAGACTCCGGAACAGATGCAAGCTCGGCGTGACGCCAATTCCGCCCAAAAGGCAGCAGCTAGGCGACGGGAGTCTGACGAACACATGCAATTACGTCGTAGCTCGAATGCAACGCACATGTCTCAAATTCGCCAAAATGAGACTCAACCACAACGGTACGCACGTCGTTCTTCAAATGCAACACATATGTCGCAAATTCGCGAAAATGAAACTCAACAACAGACCCAGGTCCGTCGCCAAACAAATGCAACTAGAATGATTCTAAGCCGCCAGACCGAAACCGATGAAGAGCGACAAGCTCGGCAGGCCGCAGATGCTGCCAGGCACGCGCGTCGCAGAAATCTTGAAGCTCCCCAACAACGCGATGCTCGGCTGGCTGCCGCCCGGGATGTGGTTTTTCCATCACGAGTAGGGCCGCGGCAACCATCTAATACCGCCGGAGGCATCGCACGCTACCACGACCAAATCCCGGATTTGCATGATTTGGGGCCGATGAACATTGAATGCACCGAATGCCATGCTATGCATTGGCCACAGGAGCTTAATGACAGATGCAAATTCAGCATGTGCTGCAGAAAAGGCAAAATTAAGTTGCAAATTTTTGGGAACTACCCCGATGAGTTGAAAACGCTTTTGACCGGCACTGAACGTCGCCACAAAGCGTTTCGCGAGCATATCCGGAATTACAATAGCTCATTGGCCACGGCTTCCATCGTTGCTAAACTGGACACCCCACGCGGAAATGGCCCCGTTCCATACAAAGTGCATGGTCAAGTCGTTCACTTGGTGGGCGGTTTGGTTCCACAGGACGGCCAAATGGCTCAATGTGCTCAGATTCTGATAATGGACACCGGAGACGCCGCTAACGAGCTAGCAGGTCGCCAAGTAAACCGCAAATGCGAACGAGAGATTTTCATAGAGCTTCACGATTTGCTAAACAGGATCAATCCTTTTGCACGCGCGTTTAAAATGATGCAAGAAGTGTATCAACAAGAAGAGCGAAACGCTCAAGCCAACGGACAAGACATCCAAGCCGTAAAAATGGTTTTTGCCCAGACGAACCATGATGATCTCAGAAGGTACAATGCTGCCACCTCAAACGAAGTCGCTGCCATTTACGTCGGCAACGACGAAGAGATTCCAGGAAGGCGCCTTTTGGTGGTTCATGATCGCCAGCAGGGCCTGCGAAACATCAGTTACCTGGATAAAAACTGTGATCCGATGTGCTATCCACTGCTCTTCCCAAGGGGAGATTTTGGCTGGCATCCGGCACTAGACCGCGTTCAACCTGCCGGATCGAGGCATACACGAGTCACTCAAATGGACTTTTATGCCTATCACGTATTCAAACGCCCAAACGTTCCATTCAACCCATTGCATCATGCATGCAAATTGTTCCAACAATGGTTAGTTGACAGCTGGATAAAAATCGAGCAAAACCGCTTGGACTTTCTAAAGAAAGGGCAAAAACCAATGCGACTTGATACGTTGCAAGGCCTACGTGACCATCAGAATGACCCAAACGCTGCCGGACCATCCGGTCAAAAGATCATCCTCTCGGCGAAACACCAAGGCTCCCCACGGAACAAGTCAGAGGGCTATAAGGACGCTTTGGCAATCATGCAACGCTACGGAAAACCTGACCTTTTCCTAGGACAAACCGCAATGGACCGACCAGATTTGGTTGGACGCGTCTTTTATTTGAAAATGGATCAACTAGACGATGAATTGAATAACAAACATATTCTCGGACAGTTGATGGCTCACGTCAGCGTCATTGAGTTCCAAAAACGCGGCCTACCACATCGGCATATGCTACTATGGCTCACGCCGCATTGGAAACTCCGCACCGCAGGAGACGTCAACCACCTCATCACAGCCGAACTTCCCGAAGATCCGACAAGCCGACTGTATGCAATTGTCACCAAATGCATGATGCACAGGGCCTGTGGTTTGGCAAACCCTGACTCTCCCTGCATGAAAGACGGCGAGTGCTCGAAAGGTTTCCCGAAGCAGTACCAGAATGACACGGTCATCAGTAACGACAGCTACCCAAAATACCGACGTCGGAATGATGGCCGAACAGTCATGAACGGAGGCGTCCAGCTTGACAACCGGCATGTTGTACCCTACAACCCGTACCTCTTGCTACGCTTTGAGGCACATATCAATTTGGAAGTCTGCGCATGGTTCAACGTGGTCAAGTACCTATTCAAATACTGCTACAAAGGGACCGACCGAGCTAGAGTCTGTCTCCAGATGGGAGTGAACGGCCCGAACCAAAATGAAAATCCAAATAACCCCGCGGATGCAAATCCAGTGGTCGACGAGATCAAGCAGTTCATCGATGCCCGTTTTGTCGGGCCCAACGAAGCAGTCCACCGCATGTTAGGGATGAAAATGGACAAAAAAAGCGATGTAGTGATCTCACTGATCGTTCACCTCGAAGATTACCAACCGATCGTTTACGATGTGAATCGTGCGAACGATGCGTTGGTTAATGCCGAACTGAAAGATACGACCCTGACAGCGTGGTTTGACAAGAACAAACAAATTCGTGAAATGGAGGAAGAACTTGGTGCTTTGCCGGTGGGTATCCTCGACACTCGAACCATTTACTACGTCGAAATGCCTGAATTCTATACCTTCTCGACATCGAGCAAAAAATGGAATCAACGCAAGCGCGTGACTGAACGCACCATCGGACGCATTCACAACGTCTCACCCAAAGACCACGAAGCTTACGCATTGCGAGTGCTACTACTCTATCGCAAAGGCATCGAAAGCTTTGAAGACATGCGCACGATCAACGGTGTTGTCCACCCAACTTATGTGGAGGCAGCCCGGGCAGCCGGGTACCTTCAAGACGATGGACATAACCGACGATCAATGCAAGAAGCCGCAAACTACCAAATGCCGGACCAACTCCGCAGCTTTTTCGCTATGCTTTTGGTGTACTGCGAAATGTCTGACGGAGTTGCACTCTGGAACGAATTCAAAGACGACCTAATGGCTGATTATGTCCATCGAGGCTTGCCCCTTAACGTATGCGAATCCAAAGCCTATTGGGATCTTGGCGACAAGCTAACTTTTCAAGGTCTGGACATCAACAAGGTCCTTGGCCTGAACATTCCACAAATCAACGGACACGATGCACCAATTGACACAGAAGCTCATCGGCTTGCCGGAGAAGCGATGTATGCACAGCTGAATGGAGAACAGGAAGAAGTAGCTAAGGCTGTACTTGAAGCCATTGACAACCCACGAGGCCAATGTTACTTCATTGACGGCCCCGGTGGAAGTGGAAAGACTTTTGTATACACATGCATCAACCATCTTGCCACCTCCAAAGGCAAAAAAGTGGACTGTGTCGCATGGACCGGAATTGCTGCAAATTTGCTTCCAGGGGGAAGGACAGTCAATGCAACATTCAAATTGAATATCAAGCAGGATAATAAGATCAGCACCATGAAGAGACAATCAAAGGAAGCCCGCCTCCTGGCGGAAACGGATGTGTTCATTTGGGATGAAGCACCAATGGCTCCAAGTCATGCACTGGAGGCTGTTGATGCTCTCCTGAAAGACATCATGCAAAATGACCTTCGATTCGGTGGAAAGATCTTCCTCCTTGGAGGGGATTTCCGCCAAGTCCTACCAGTTGTCGAACGTGGCGGTCGAGGTGATCAGGTGGCTGTTTGCCTCCGCCGATCCACAATCTGGCCAGAATTCGTACAATTCACCTTGACCCATAATATGAGAGTCCAAGGGGATGATAACGACTGGAAAGAATGGGTTCTAAAAGTCGGTAACGACGAAATCCCAAAAGATGCCGATCAGAACATTGAAGTACCCCCAGAAATCCGCAGCAACGGTGACTTGGTCGAAGAAATCTTCGGACCTATCCTCAGAAATGGTGGAGAATTGGCAGATGCGGCCATTTTATGTCCGAAAAATCAGCAAGCCCTTGAAACCAACAACAATGTGCTAGAAATGCTTCCCGGCGACCTCCAACTAGCCAGAAGCATTGATGAGGCCATCACCACTGATCCGCGAGACTCTTACCACTTCACCACAGAACTTATGAATTCGATGACCCCGACAGGCCTCCCGCCTCACGAGTTATTTTTGAAAATTGGAGCCATTGTCATGCTACTGCGAAATTTGGACGTGCAAAATGGACTATGCAATGGCACTCGCCTAATCATTGAACAGATTCAAACTCGGGTCCTGCTTTGCCGTTTCGCAACGGGTTCCCGCAAAGGAAAACAAGTCTTAATTCCTCGAATTGATTGCCAATACGAGAAAAACCTCCCATTCATGCTGAAGCGGCGCCAATTTCCCATCAGGCTTAGTTTCGCCATGACCATTAACAAAAGTCAGGGGCAGTCATTCGATCGGGTGGGCCTCGACCTGAGCACCCCGATTTTCTCGCATGGGCAGGCGTACGTCGCCATCTCGCGATGCAAGTCACGCGACGGGGTGAGGATCTTGACGGCCAACGACAAGATGGCCAATGTCGTCTACAGGGAAGTCCTCGCGGACTAGCCCTCTCTCCTTCTCTTCTCTCCCGCCCTGTTGGCTTCTCCGTAGTGCCAACTGATTGGTGCCGCCATTCCCCAAGGTAGCATTTGGAAATTTGTCCTGATCGTATCCCTTCAGACGACGTCTCTTCGCTTCCTTCCCAGCTCCTCCTGATCTATCCCGAGAAGCTCCAGCGCCGCTTGCCCAGCCACTCGATCGTCTACTCGCCCCTGCCCGCCACGTACTACTACCAATACATATTTCTCCCGTCTTTCTCTCTTCCTATACAATTTCCTGCCGTTGTATGATAAATGTTGCTTCCTATACACGGTTCCATCAACCTGGGCATTAAACTATTTCTAACAGTGCAGCCTGTATATAGGGCTTAGACGGGGCCAGGGTTGATTCGGCGGCTAGGCCGCCGAATCAACCCTGGTTCTTTCTAAAATCCAAACTCGAGGTGAAAATTTCAACTTTATTAATAGTATTTACCTTATCAATTACAAAAATCATGACATTAAATTGTGGCTGGTGATCAAACCCTCGCGATTTTCTTGTTTCACAAAACGATTTCATCTCCATTATTTTTGACGGAAAACAGACTCCTAATACACCGTATTTCGATTGCCGCTGACACTGTTGAGCTGAAACTTCATTTTTCAGACTTGGCGGCGGCCCAGACGATGCTATTGAAATCACACACCACCCGTTCTTCGGATCGATCGATTGGCAGCGGTTGTACAATAAGGAGATTGAGCCGCCATTTAAGCCGCTCGTCACCTCCGACACCGACACCTCTTATTTTGATACCGTAAGTTATTGCAATTTTTTATTATATTTTCAGAGCTAGCTGCTTTATTCAAAATTTATTTTTATTTTGTTGTGTAGTTCGGCAGTTTATTGACCATCGAATTTTCGTACCTTTGGAGTTAGCTTATTATAGTGTAAAGAATTGAGCCATATCCAATTTTTTTTTGAAACATATGTTTCGTGTGAGTTTAGTTAATTTATCGGGGAAAATCCATCTATGTGGGAAACATTGTGGTAAACCCGTTCGGCCAAAATCAAAGAGTGTTTGAAACATGGTTTTGTCAAAGTTCTGTTTGGTATTTTCTTTATTTTCTAATTTTCAGACGTTTACCTCTGAGCCAGTCCAACTGACGCCTCCACCAGTACGCGCCGGTCCCCTCGATACGGTCAGTTTGAGACCTTTGCGTAAATCCTACCTTATATAATTTTGGGATGTATCTCTGTGTGTGTCTGTGTGTCCGGGCGTCATTTTCGAGGCCCGATTTGAGGGCTTTCCTGTGTCCAAAATGCCCCAATTCTTTGTCACTTGGGGTAATCGGACCTCCTCTTTCCGATGGCTTTCTCAGAATTTTGATAAAATATAAGTTTACAAAAATAAAGCCCGTTTTATTCATTTTTGGGGGTTCCCGAGGCCTAATTTGCACAATGTGCAAAAATATAAATTTCCTCATTCTTGCCAGATCCACGCGTGGGTGTGGCCGGCAGAGGTGATCGGAAAGTCCAATTTCTCATGCAAACACCGCATTCCAGCGCCCAAGGCCCGCGAAGCGGGTTTTGGGTGCTGGTTGTGAAATATTTTTGCAAAGAATGCGCCGCTTAATTGGGGTCGGCTGGAAATTTGTTTTGACTGAGATTTTCCGAAACAACGAATTTCTAAAGGGGCGTCTTGCAAAATTCACGTGTTCAGAACAAAATTACCTAAGATGCAAATCGAAGTATCGAACTTCTGACAGCTTACAACATTAAGACATACGTATTTTTTCACGTCGTAAAAGTGAAAATTAGAATTTTTGGTCAGAATTTATGAAAAATTAAGCGGTTTAAGATAACTCTATAGCTAGCTTGGTAGCCAAAATTTTGTTTGGATTTGTTCTGGCGCCTTCTTCACCTGTATGCAAATTTCAGATAAATAATGTGATCCTTTTTCATAAATAAAAAAGACTTGGTATTAATATATAAAAATTATTCAATAAATTATAGTAAACAATCATAACATTAAAAAATGGTAGCAGTAATTCGGGTAATATTCTAAAAAGATAATTGTTATATTTTTCCAGGTTGCCGAAGAGGAGGAGATGATCCAACAAAACTTTACCCATTTCTCCTACAAACACGAGGCCAGCCCCCGACAACATCAGCAGGCCGTCGAAATGATGGAATGAAAAATCGACAAATTCCATGTTTCAAAAAAAATTAAAAAAGTTTGTTTTTCAGCAAGTTGTAATTTTTTCGGTCCCTAACCCTGATAGTCTTCCCCCAGTAATCTGTGATTGGAGAGCGCCAATTAGAAGATGTCCATTGCTGTTTGCTTTTTTCGCAGAATACTTCTTCAAGAAGACATTAAAATTTAAAGAAAAATTGAATAGAGCTAGAAACTTGTAGTCTGTATTACGTGCCTGTATTTCTCTGTGTTTCACTATTTCACCCTATAGAATTGTTCTGGAATTTTTGGGAATTTGTGAGGAACTAGTGGGAGGTCAGGAGCTGGGAGTTAGAAGCAAAAAATGAAAACGGGGAGCAGGGAGCTGGGAGCAGGGTTCCGATTGCCTCGCGGTTGCGTGCCTAAACGTTGCGGTTGCGTTGCGTCTGCGTAGAGGTCGCGTTTTAGGTCTCGTGGCGGTTGAGAAGGAGCTCCCAGCTCCCATCAGCTCCCGAAATTGATCTCCCATCGCAGCTCCCAGCTCCCATCGGCTCCCGAATCCCTGGAGCTCCTGCCTCCAGAATCTAAGCTCTGATGCTCAAGATCTTGTTTGCAGAGTTCGTAATGAAGTTAAGAGCTCGGATCTGTGGAGGTTGAGAGGTTAAGAAAGCAATTGCATCAGTGTAGGTTCCTTAAGGTTTTTCAATTCAAGCTTCGAGCTCCCTAGCTCCCAACGACTCCCAATATGCGCTACATAAATTTCCCGAAAAACTACCTTTTTTAAGCTTTTTCCAAAAAAGCAAAAGTTGATTCGTCGGTTCAGTCAGCATCACGGAAATTTTTGACTCTTTTTTCTCTTTGAAACATGTTTTTAAATACGCTTTTCCCCCTCGATTTCTTCGATTCGATAAAAACGCTGTAAACCCCCCGTCCCCTCTGTTTCGTGTCTACCTAAATACGTGTCCCCCAACATGAAAATTTGCAAATGTCTTTGCTGCGTGAAAATTGTGTGTTTCGATTTGTCTACTAAGCATTGTTAAGGCCAGAATAAAGATTTGTAAAGCAAAATTAGGCTCAAAAGGCAATAAAAAGGCCAAGAAACGACACGGGCGCGTTCAGCCGGCAAAAATGAAGAATTACTCCTTTTGGATTGTGCAAATTAGGGTCATCAAAGTATTCACTCAAAGTTTTTTATAATAAAATTTTTGATTTATAATAAAAGTAAGTGAAGCATTTTAGATAGTTTTTTTTTTGGTTGAAATATAGTTATTTTTTTTCTACGAAAAACGCTATTAAAACACTTGCTATTAGGTTACCAGATTCTTTCTCGTCCGTCCTCACCACCGTCAGCTACCTGCACACACAGACACACTTTATCCTCGCCCAAGCCCGAAACCAGCTTTTTTCCCGAAACATCGAGCTTTTTGTCATTTTTTTCGTGGAATATTTTTCGGCAAAATTTTTGTCATTTAACCGTTTAGGTGCTATCCAAGCTGTGTTTTCGCAAACCGCTTTGAAAAACCATCGTCGGGATGCCAGGAAAGGCGTAAAAATAAAATTGTGATTTTTGTAAAAACCACTTTGGTCAGAAAATATCAAAACTCCTCACTTTTTGCAAAAATATCAGCAAGTGTTAGAAAACTTTCAATTTCAAAAACAATCAAAGGATGTGCTGGACTCGCCTTTCCGAGGGCTTTCGATAGATACCAAAATCGTAAAAATCGGACACGACTGCCGACCGCACGCACACCAATACGCCAGAAGAGCTAATAGGGGTGGCCAAACAGGGTGAGACTTCATTTGTCATAATCGTGCCATACAAATAAAACGCGAGCCAATAAACGAAACAAAAAGATAGGCTAATACGGAAGTGGTGACAATTATCGCTTTTGCTTTGCCCGAGATCCGTCTTTTCCCGAAACATCGAATTTTTTGTAATTTTTTCGTGATTTTTGTTTCTCGTTCTTCTCCGTGCCCCCCATTAAGCAACCTTTATCAAGATAATAACGTGGCAAAACGCGCTAAATCACCCTTTGCTTCGTTTTTTGGAAGCGCTCGAAGTGTATTATTCAAGAGTAGGACACTCAAGTACGGCAACTGCGACATGACGACCTTCAGCGAGCCGTCCATCCTACAACAGCTTCATCATCTAGATTGCCCAGTATCTGCCCAAACATTTGCAACGGTCTTTGTGTTTCGATTTGTGTGGCGAATTCTTTTTGGTTTTGGTTTGGCTCTAATTCATTTTGTCGCAAAAACTAATTTGCATAAATTAGCTCTGTCGCCTCGCTATTTTCATAAGTTCGTCTTGTCGCAAAAGCTTGACAATGACGCATTCTGTTCAGCTGCAAGATTTTGCTTTTAGATTACTGGTCAAAGGAGCTTTGTTGACTAAACCGGAAGCTAGGAGCTGGGAGATGATGTTAGTCACCAATGGTAAACTCACCATACCATTAGACAACTAATTTTTTTTGGTTCTTTGAAAATCGGAAAAACACATTTTTTGCAGCTGTGCTCGCTGCAATCGGGTACCGGAAATGGCCGTCCAATTTGTGAACTCACAATACTGGCGCCATGATAAAGCCCCCCGACCAAATGCCCAATTTATTGACGCGTTGCTGCTGCTGTTTTTGATAAGGCCAAATAATGGCCGTTCTTTATTTGGCCTGGAAAAATTTCGTGTTTTTGCTTAGTAGTTTTTTCAGTTTTTGTCGTAGTATTCGTTTGGCGTGAAAATTGATACTTTAGTTTACCATTGGACAAGTTCACAAAATTTTTAATTGTAGTTAAGAACCCATTCATAATTAAGCCAATCCAAGCGTTGATTATTTTGTCTGTCTCTAAAAAAGAGTTTTTGGGGCTGAAAATTATATAAATTATGCGTGTATTTACTAAAAACATTCTATTATCGTATATTGCAATTAGAGAATTTTTTAATAAATAGCTTTCCCGTCCTCTAGCCTCGTAAGAAAAAAAATGTTTTTAGGAAAAATTGGGTCTTCAGTATTGGAAAACTTTTAGTTCGTAAGCCAAGGCTGTGTTAATAGGCTATTTTGGAATTTGGAGTGGGAACTCTGGCCGAAAGAAAATCTTTTCATAGCATAATTAATTCGCGCTGTCAAAAAAAACCCTGGAAATCATGGCATAGTAGCTTATTTACGTTTTTAGCGCTCTAAAAATGCGTTTTATTCACTTTCATTGTATTTTGTCGGACCGTTAATGCTGAATTTTACTTTGGACTAACACGAAATTTTTATATATTATTGCACCGTAACACGATAAATCAACAAGTGAAAAAGTTTAAGTTTTCTGGCCATTTGCATTCTAGCTTTTACGTTTTGCCGAAAAATAAAAAGAAATGCTTTTAAAAATCTTGTATTTTGTCGTGATTAAAGCGAAAGTTTAACTGAATTAGCAAAAAATTGTGATAGTGCTGTAGCGTCCGATTGAAGTAAACGACATTAAATCGTAAAGTTAATGTTTATCGAAGCCGTAAAGAACAACATTTTTTAAAAATTGGAGCACTTTATAGTGCACTGTATCAATAGATAAAATAAAAATAAATAAATAAATAAAATAAACAAAATCGGGATCAATCAGTATATTATAATATAATCAGCATCAAAGTATCAAAAAACCATTCTTTGGGCTTTTTTTTGAAAACAAAACATGTTTCACTTCCGGTACAGCCCCCACTTTGTTTTCGGCTTCTCACACCTGTCAGTCTTTTTGAGTACTTTGTAGCCAGGGCGGGCCGGGCCCCCCGTATTTCCATGCCCCGCCCATTCGAATTCCGCCCAGTTTTCTGTGTCCTAAAAGCTGTGATTGAAACTATAATTTCCACATTTCTTTTGTAGAAAATGTGTTTTGGCTACTCGGGCCATTGCGAATTGGGACAAAACTTTAATGGTGGGTGTGAATTACCTAGAATAATATGGAATTTAGTCGTGGTTTTTTGGCAAAATAGGCAGTTATTAACAACATTAGACCTGTTTTTCCCGGATTTCTTTATCATTAAAAGTGAAATCATAAAGTGTTTTCAAAAAAACTGTTAGAAAACAGTCCTAAACGTCTAAAAACTTTACAAGATTTTAGCAAAATATACAAAGAATATTAATTCTCCTGCCAAAATTTGCAAAAATTTTGAAAGTTTTGTCAACTAGTTTACCACCGCAAATTTAAGGAAATAGTTTACCGATAGGTTTATTTAATTGTAAACACGATTTACGATTATTATTCCTGAATTATTCCTAACAACTCGACAATTTTGCTCAAAAATACAAATAATTTCGATCGAACAAAATCTTCAAAACCTTCAAGTTTTTAGATAGTTTTTCCACCTGAATATCGTTAAATTTTACTAAAAATCACCATTAAAATATTTCCCATGAGGATACTAGGCATTTCTTGACTGGTAGAAAGTTTGGCTCCTCCCCCCCGTTAATGCAAAAGAACCTTCTGTGCTTCTATACTGCCCAAGCTCTCGCCGAATTTCTGGAAATCGGAAGTACGATTTGCGGTTCCTTTTCGCAAAATATATTTGTTTCAAATTGTTGCAAATCCAGCATGGCGGTTTTATGTTCAATTATTCCATGTTCGCTGTTGTAAGTGATCTTGCAAGAAAAATTCTCTCACAAGGAGTGCTTTTTTTGAGTCATCTGCAAAACCTTACGAGACCTAGCTCATTCGATAGAGAATTCGATTCTGAACAAAACCCCGTTGTTCTTTTTTGCAGAATGGCTATCCTTGATTTTATAAAATTTTAAAACTGCACCCAAAAGCCTCTCTTTTGGCTCGAAAGGCACTCATGGTAAGAGACGGTCACTAGTGTTTTAATTTTATAAAATCGGGGATGGCCATTCTGCAAAAAAGAACAACGGGGAATTGTTCAGAATCGAATTCTCTATCGAATGAGCTAGGTCTCGTAAGGTTTTGCAGATGACTAAAAAAAAAGAACTCCTTGTCAGTTTTATTAAATCTGGGCAAGACTTTACTTCACCCCCCCCCCGCAGCCGAAGGGTCAGAAAGTTTCGGTATTTTCGCTTATTTTGTAGGGATTTTTGCCACGCCATTCGATGCGTCGAAAAATATAGTAAGATTGTTAATTTCAACCTACAATAATGTGAAATAAACAAGTTATAGCCAAAAACTTCCGACTTGGGGGGAGGGGAGAGAGAGAGTGGGCCTACCCTGTCACGATCGCATCAGCCTGTTGGTCAATTGGTTTCGTGTCCGCTTGCCGCGCACAACGTCCGGGTTCGATCCCCCGCCCGTGGCAACAAATTTTGGCTAAACTCCAGATACCCCCCTCCCCCCAGCCGACCCCCCCACCTACCGTATTCGGCTCCCTGTGCATCTACAGGTGTGTAAAGTATACCAAAATACTCGCCAGAGCAAGACGAACATTTTGGTATACTTTACACACCTGTAGATGAACAGGGAGCCGAGATACAAAGGTTGGGTGCCGGCTGGGGGGGGGTTATCTGGAGTCTTACCCAAATTTTACTTTTTCATCAGCTGGGAGTTGAATGTTTCTTTGAAATTTGAGATGTGGCGAATTCGAGGTGAGGTAATACAACGAACATCTTGTACACATGCTGGAAAAATTTGGAACCCACTGAGTGTGTCCCGCATAAAAATGGGCGTGCTGACATTTCGCCATTTTGCACGCCAACTTTATGCATTGTTATCGAAAAAGTGCAACGCGTATTGTTTGCTCAAATAAAATATTTAAATATTATATATAAAATCAAATATTTCATTTCATGCCTAATTTCGGTGTCCGTTTTCCGGAAAATATATTTGTTTCGAGTTTTCCGAATCTTGCTAACTAGCCAGTTTTTCGTAGAAATTATTGATCTGTTTTTTGGAGCAAAGTTTCCTATTTTTTTGCGCAAATAAAATGTTTCAAATTTTCCGATCTTAAGTGATTTTAAAGAATTTTTAATGATCATTTTCAGCAAGGTGGAGCCAGGCGAAAATGGGCCCTATAATTGGCCTCTGTTTCGGGGCCCTAATCGGATGCGCCTTCTCGGTCCAAGCAATCGATAATTGCCTCAAAAATCGCTTGGATTTGAATGGGAGCTTGGATTTTGCCGTGATTCCGATACAAATACCGGGTGGGCGAAGTGGGTAATTTTTGCAGTTCTGATTTGGCATTAGCATTTTTTTAATTGATCCTGCTACTTAATAATTGATAAACATAGTTTAATTAGTTAGCATTAATTTAATGTTTTGTATGTAAATATATCTAATAATTAGAGTTTTCGTTTATCCAGGCGTCCCTTTTTGGAAAAAATGTTTCATGAAAATCTAAAGTTCGAAAGCTAGGGGGCTTGGTAATTCGCTTTATTTAGCAACAAGCTGGTTACTATTTAAATATTTTTGACTAATATTTTTATAATTAAGTTTTAAATTAATATATAAAAGGTGGAGGTTGCATTAGCTTTTTCCTCTACCGCTTACGCCCTATCATGAAAAAAATATTTTAGCAGCATCGTATTCTTTTTGTTTTAAAATTCCCAACAACTCCCTAGAGTTTAAAAAAAGATGTTCTAGCAAAATTGATAGTTGTTAACAAATGTTGCCTGGTAGTATGACCAGCTCACAGTTTGGACAGATTTCGTTTTTTTTGTAGCTAACCAGGTATCCCTTTAACGTACTTTTTCAGCCATTGAATAGTTCTTGATCAGGAAATTGTAAACAAATTTAAAAACAATCTACTAAGTCAACTTTTGGATATTTTGGCCATTTTTATTCACTTAGCTATGAAAAGTTATGCATTTTCGGAAATTTTATAGGGCTATATTGAAAAACATGTTGACAAAACGCTATAGAAATAGGTCCAGCTAACTACTACAAAAAAAAATCGTTCCCCCGCTAAGCTACCCGCTGCCCCCCCCCCCCCTATAACAGAGCATTACCATTCGGCGGCTTTTTTTCTTAAACCCGAATAATTATGATATATGTTTTGAAAAAAATGTTTTATAAAAATAAAAATACAAAAAAAATGTTTTTGTCACCACTGCCACACATGTGGTTTAGGTTACAAATGTCATGCCGCCGGCGAGGAGACGATGGTATTTCGACTCGACGACGATCAAAAGCTGTAGAACATGTCAGTTTTGACCTTATTTGGTTTTCTCGAAACATCAATTTTTCGAAACGTCAAATTTCGAGAAGATGAAATTTGCAGAAAATGCCAGCAAATCGTCAGTTTTGATTATACTGCTGCCATACAGGGTCTTTCTTAAGCATAGCGATTCGTTTCATTTTTTTTACCGAATTTTGGTAGAGGTTTAGTTTATCACAGGATTTTCGGTTTTGTCCAAATTTCGGCAATTTTTCAGTGCACTTTAATTAGGATAATTTCAAAGATTAATGCTGTCATAATGTGGTAGGCACCGTGCCTTTACAGCCCCCTTTAAAATTCAATCTATGTAAATTTAGGCGCTCGGAATTCGTGTACTTCTCGATGTAGCGTCTACTAGCCCGGCCCTCCACGTCACGGCAACCAATGGGCACGATTTGGATGCGTTCAGCGTACCCGAATTGGCCAGGTAAATTTGTCGCGACTAATTTGTCTTATTAGACCGTACTTCCACTTCGAAACATTGAAATTTTCGCGAATTTTGAGTGGATGCCATGTGTATTTAATAATCTAGCTCATAATTTCATATTAATTGTAAAACCTATAAAACACGAAAAATGCATTAAACGCTAAATATAAAACTTTCATAAAATTGAAGGGACACTCCATGCCAAACCTCATTAGCCCTTCATTTATTACCTGGGGCCAGAATATTTTCGAAACATTGATATTTTCAGAAATTTCTAGTATAGATGCGTTGTGTATTTACAAATCTAGATCATAATTTTGTAGGAATTAAAAGACTTCTCAAATCCGAAAACTGGGACTAGAATACTACTTACTAAATGCTAAAGTTTTCTGGAAATTACCGAGACGCTACTTACCGACTCAGCTTGGACTTCAATTGAATATTTATTCCAATAATTATATCGAAATCTCCGGAAATTCTAGTGGAATCGATCCTTATTTAATAATGTTTGTAACAATTAAATGTATTTAATGCATTAGTATTAAGAAAATGGCTAACTAAAATATTGATATTTTCCTGCCCGATTTTTCTAGCATAATTTAGCAACGATCAGCGAGGGGCTACCCGTGTTCTTCTACCATTTTCCGAAAACCCAGCAAAACCACCGATCGTCACGGTTACGGTAAATTTCCTATACCTTGAAATTAGAAATATCAAACTTGCCTTAAAAAGATATTTCAGCCCCTAAAAACTGTCGGCTTCATCATCACCTTTTTTCAGGTCCAAATGACCCAATATCAATTTTTGTAAGCCCATTATAACTTTAATTTTTAGCCCGGATAATTCAGGCTTTCTGCTTCTGCTGTATCCAAAACTACGATTCCTTCAAAACTCAAGGAAAGCGGCTATTTAGAACATCAAGTAATCTCCGAAGGTTTGGCTTTACATTTAAAAAAAATGTTTCGAATTTAGTTCCGGGGAGATTGCTGCGAATTCGGATAAATTCGAGCGACCCGCAAAGCTGCATGAGAATTTATTTTCGGACAGAAACGGTAGGGAATTACTTTTTAAAATCTGCTATTCTTAAATACCTTCAAATTTTTATGCAATTAAATCCAGAGAAGGATTAAATTCGTCAAATTAGTAAAGTAAAGCACCGACAAAAAAACAATACAAAAAACTGAAAGAGACGTTCAACTGATAAAACCCCGAAACATTACAAAACTTTCGTAAATTTCTCGTGTTTCAAAATTTTAGGTGATACGGCGCTTTACCAAAAATTCAATGACAAGTGGTTTCCTGTTTCCAAGTAATTTTATGTATGCTTTTACGTTTCCTTATTTTCGTTATTTTTCTTTTTTTTTAGGTTTTCTCATTTTATTAATTTTCTATGGGTTGTTCCAGAAATGCCCTCGAGTGTTTCAATAACTATTTAGTAAAGCTGAATCAGATTTTAATTGGAAAAGACTAGCTAAATAACTTAGAAAACGTTAATGTTTTCGTCACGAATCCGTTGTTTGTCGAAAAGCCAGATTTTTGTATTTTTTATAAAATTTGTAACTTATGCTTGAAGCTTAAAAAACGGTCTCGAAACATTTCCTATTTTTATTTACAAAATCGGATAAAAAAAGGCAAAAAATTGTTCCCCGAGAATGAGAAAAAGTAATGTTTCGGAACATCGTCAAACTCAAAAATTTGGAGACTGAGATAGTGCGCCATAGTCAGAAGCATAATAAAAATAAATTGGCCTTAAGTTCGTCTACATTATTTAAGTCAGGATAACCATATGTAATCTATTAAATATCAAAATCGATCGGGTGCTCTTTAATTGTAATTATCTATGAATATTTTATGATTGATAAATTACCGGATTAAAAAATCGAGCTTCATACAAAGTTGGTATCGCATGTCATAGTGATCGGAAATATCCGTGTTTTAATTGGATTTATCAAAAATTAAAATTAAAAATTAAATTCAAAATGATTGAAAAAATAAAATTCTATTTAATAATTTTAGTAAAATATAAAAAGATACTTGAAATCTCAATTACAGCTATTAAAGGTTGGAAAAAATCAATTAAGCGTCTTGAAATTAGGAAGCCCTCCGCCATAATGCCCTGCTCTCGTCAGAAAACGCGAATTTCGTCACAATGACGAGCCGGTTGTACCTCGATTTGGAGGTGGGTTAGTAACAATATAATTGGGTAAAATTTGAATTTAAAAAAAAATAAATTTAGCTACCGACAGAGCCTCTGCAAATACGTTACGTATTAAACGGGGACGACGAAGAATGTGGGACCATTTGGGGTAAGTTTTTTACTAAACACTGTTTAAAAACCATTAAATTAAATTAATGACATTTTCATCCATTTTTGCCAATTTCATTGAACAGATTACAATTTATTTACAATTTATTGTTTTCCACCCTCGAAAAATGCCGTAAAAAGTCAGAGGTGTAGCTTGTGGGAAAAACTTATTACTTCCACAAATGGATGCATTATCTGCAGCTTTTTAAGAGTTAATAGGAGCTAGTAGATAAAACATTTCTGAGAAGTAATTTAGAAAGCCCGAAACAGCGTGAAAAACAGCTTCAAATTCACTACGAACTGGTGGAATATCCTGGATATGGGAAGCCGATTCTAGCCCTGGTTGCGCTGTTTTTTGGCGTAGCCTCGCTGCCAGTGGTTGTGGTAGCTAGGTAAACATATACTATTTTTAACGTACGAGAGCGAGAGAGAGAGTGAAAGAGAGAGAGAGGGAGAGAGGAGAGAGGAGAGAGGGCGAGGATGAAAGAGAGATAGAGAGAGAGCGAGAGCGAGACAGAGAGAGAGAGAGAGAGAGAGAGAGAGAGAGAGAGAGGACAGAGAGAGAGAGAGCGAGTGAGAGGGAGTGTGTGGGCGACAGAGAGCGAGAGAAAGAGAGAGAGGAGAGAGATAGCGATGGAGAAAGAGAGAGAGCGAGAGAAAGAGAGAGAGAGAGAGAGAGAGAGAGAGAGATAGATAGAGAGAGAGAGAGAGAGAGAGAGAGAAAGAGAGAGAAAGAGAAAGAGAGAAATCTTCCGAAAAACATTGCGAATTTCTTTATTTTAGCCCGATACTGCTTGCCGTCGTCAAAAAATCGTTAGCAGCCCCGCAAGATGAAGAGGTGCGTTTTAAATTACATGTTGCTAAAGATCGCAATATGATGTTGCCCCGGCAATTGTTAGTATTCATTTAGAGTTTGGCTGAAGCATTGCCAGGATCGGGCGAGGATACCCGGGATTCGCTATTGGTCCCCGGTGGCCCTATAATTCCAGCGCTTCGAGGGGGTTGGTTTAGAAAATTATTTTAGTTTGTTATAGAGAATGCGCCATAAACTAGCATTTTTGCACAAAAATCTGGGTAATGGAAGCTTGTCTAGGCCGTAAACATTAAGATTGAAAGATCTCCAAAAGACCAAGGGTTGCAAACTTTTGGAACATGTTTTTGATAATTCAAGATGCTGTTTACTTCAGAACTATAAACTTTCTAGAAAAGACGAGTTAAATTATAATTAATGGTAACTTAATGATACTAAAATGGCTTTAAGAAGATGCTACAATTTTCATAGAAAACGCACACGGTTACTTATCTTTTTTGAAAACGAATCCCATTGATTGAAATTGAAATTTCATAGAAAACGCAGATTAGTCGTGATTCCCGTTCCTGCAAGCACAAACCGAGCTAAAACATTTTTTTCGTATTCCCCCGTTTGTATCCTAAATTTTGATTTTTTTAGAAAGGGTATCTTGCTTAATTCTAGAGTGTAACATTCAATTTCTATAACATTCCATATAAAAATCCAATGACGAACGTTGCTGCAAAAGGTGGTTAATATAGAAAATTAAGTACTGTAGACATTTTCAAAAGTAAGCGGTTGGTTGCAGTTGTCAAAATCCCCCCCGCCCCCTGCTAAGCGAGAAGCACCCAAACATATTTCGAATTAGGTCAGGGGGGTTGCGGGGGTAAGCAAGAAAATGGGAATTTTTAAAATAATTTATCGAGAATTAAAAATCTTGAAATTGCGTGAAAACACAGCGTCGGACTGTCTGATCAGAATCGTCCGAAATTCATTGCTTTAATGAAACCTTTAATTGTTTCCAAAAAGCATCTTTTTTGAATTTTGGCCTCTGGATCTTAAAATTTTGATGTATCGGGGAAATGACACGTTGCTCAATTCCAAAGATCAACATTGCATATCGAATTTTGAAACGATTGTTAAAAATCTGGATTAATTTAGAAAATTTAAAAATGTATTAACTTACAATTGAAGAATAAATTAAACTGTCCTAGGGCCGGAGAATGAGTTGGAATGGCTCGGAGGAGGTCAGAATTCCGAACGTTCAGATGAAGTCAAGCTCAAACCAGGCGAAGATTACGAATTGTTCCGAGACAGGGAGGTAGGAGTTTTTCAAAACATTCGTTTGCAAAATTGCAGTGATATAAATTGAATTGAGCTGTCCTTACATTTTGTTATATTTTTACAGCATTTTCACATATTAAAATATTTTAGAAACCTGCCTTACCGCTGGCCGCTTGTCAATTCGCCGTCTTTTTGCTGCCACCAATTTTGCAGGAGGCCTATGGCTTTTTCACTGTAAGAAAATCAAGTAGTTTTTGGGTTTATGGAATCCTACTGTTATGTTTTAAGACAAACAAACTATTTCTTAGCTTTAGCAGGCGTCAACATTATAAAAAGTTATAGGAATTAGGTAGTTTGTAAAGTTCAAAGCGTGGTAAACTATTCAGTCCGGTGCAATTGCTTATGAAGGTTCAACTAGATTTGGCGGTTGACTTCAGACCTGGAATATTGTTAAAACATTTCTTTTGCTCTGTGATTTGTAAACTTTTACACATTTAAAAAAAGAACGCCTCTATTTATATTAGAATTTAGTTTACCCCTGAATAAACCCCGGTAACGCAAAAGTACCATAAATTTTGGGTAAAGCCTTAACATGAAATTTAAATTCAGGATCCCGCTCCGGGGCTGCAGAGCTGCTATCACAATTTTGCCTGTGCGAGGCCGCTGGGGAGGATTGCTTCTTTTAACCATATCATCTCGAATTTGGGATACGGTAACTCTTAAAAGAAAATATACAAGTATTTTTCAGTATTTGTCGGTGTGTTGTATTTAGTATTCCAACGGAAACGAGCTGCCTGGTTTTCGGGGAATGAAAAAAGGGAGGTGAGCTAATTCTCTGAATTTTTGGTGACTACCTTGAAGTTACTGACGAATGAAGATCGATAGGGACAGTAGAATTTCGAATTTCATCCAAAATCGGTCATTTTTGGTTAGTCAAAGTCATTTGTTTACATTGAAGCGTAGAACAATTTTAAAAATACGTCCTCTATTAATACAGAGTGGCTGAAAAGTTTCCGCAATTTCTTGATACTGTTAAATGGACTGGAAATTCCTAAAATTATAATGAGGTAGAGAACTTATAGTAACTAATAGTTTAATTAAGACGTAAAAAACAAATTGCGAAACAAAAATCCACGATAAATCTTCGCAGCTTCCCCCAGACGCTTCGATACAAATGCGCATACACCTTGAAAAGTTGTCTCCCATGGTCGCGCCCTCTGCCACAATAACCGAGGCCTAGCACTTTCCAGGGCTGTTTGAAGGAGATTCACTGTAGTGGACCGTTTTTCTGAGCTCTTTTGCTACAAAATGGTCGAAACCGAAAGATCAAAAAAATTGAATCCACTTAGTTGGAGGCCCAAACATCAAAGCCGCAAAAAGCCGATTACAACTTTCCCCAGAGGGTGTTAGTTGAACGGGCCGGAAAACCTGGTGTCCAGTCTTGCTTAAGCGTGAAAACGTTTTAACTAAAAGATTGCTTAATTCATGGCTCTGAAACGATCCTAAGGGCTTGATATTAATGCTCGGTGACTTCGATTTTTACATTTTTTTGAACGAAAACGGTTTAAGGGTTGCTGGGGCTCTAGATTCCTACTCAAATCATCAAACTTCTCGGAAAACGGGAATGATAGACCAAGACTCCTCTATTAACCGTTTTTGAAGAGTTTCAGATGATTTTGCCCGTTCCGGCTCGATTCTATAGTGAAAACATTGACGCCTCTTTGCTCACCGGGAGGGCGCGACCATGGCCGGCAATTTCCACGGCTGCCTGCGCGCTTCTATTCAGCTGCTGGTGAAATTCGTGAACATTTCTTGCGGATTTTTGTGTTGTAATCTGTTGATTACGTAGTAAATAAGGTTTCTGTTGCTTTACCTCAGCCAAATTTTAGGAATTTTCCGTCTATTGACCTGCTAGAAGAAATTGCGGGAACTTTTCAGCCACCCTGTATTAGACAGATTCGATGCTTAGAAAAAGATTTTCATTTCCGCTCACCGGAAAAATATGTTTCCTCCCCCAAAGATGTGGATTTTTTTTCTTCGTCCATATTAGGTCGCATATAAGTCCCTGAAGTCATTTTTCCAGCATCAATTCGGCGTCTACCGTAGCCCGGCTGTTGATATGGCCCTCGGGGTGTCATTAATGTGCGAAGCGGTGGCAAGTGCTGTCTACCATCTTTGCCCGTCCAAATCGGCTTACAAATTTGGTGGGGAGGATTTTTGGTTTGACTCTAGTGGGAATTGTTGAGCATTTTTTAAAGAGCCTTTACTTAAATTCATTGTTTTTAAAGTTTGTTTTTTAAAGGACCGGCAAGCCAAGATTTAAATTTGTTACTTCTCGCCGCATAATTATAATAACGTCCAGGGTTGTTCATTTTGCGTCCGGTCCGCGTCCGTCCGCGTCCGGGACGGGACGCGTCCCGTCCGTCTCATTAGCATAAAATTTTGCGGACGGACGCGGACGCGTCCCGGACGGACGGGACGGACGCATGGCGGACGGGGGGACGGGGAGCGTCCGCGCGTCCGAGATGCAAATTATTTCATGGTAATCTTGAAATGAAAACCAGGAAATTCCCGATAATTTTGCAGGTTTTGCGGTACATTGGTTTTATTGAACAGTAGGTTGCCATGTACAAGTAGACATGCTAAAAACCAAACCCTACCGAAGGTTTTACGCCCAAGAATGAAAAACTAGGCGCTTCATTATGATTTGAATCCGCTTTTCTCATTTGCATCGCGGACGCAGTTACTTCCGGCGTCCGCCGTCCGTCCCGTCCGTCCGCGAACAACCCTGATAACGTCTAATCTAATCGTCTACGGCCGTCTAATAACTCCAGATTAGTTTATTTCGATGCTTGAAAACTTGAAAGATATTTTTTTCAAAAATTTTTTTAGAGCAATTTCGATTTTTGTTTTTATCCCTTAAGCATCTAATGAATTCGAGGGCAATTAAATTTATAGATTCTATAACCCTAATCTTCAGTAATTTAATTAAATAGCTTTAGAACCATTTGGTCCAAATTCGTGTAATTATACCGTCAGTTGCCTATTACAAAATATAATTGCGACACAAGTTAGTATGGCCAACGAAACACTATTTTTTAACCAAAAAATGGATCATAAGAAAAACGGCGAAAACCACGTTAAAAACTCAAAGCATGCAATTTAATGCAGTACCCTCTAGATACCCCATTCATCGTATCGTTCTGCGTGTTGGCCATGTTGAGGTTATACGGTAGTCGCCACGGCCCGCCCACCCATCGACACATCCAAGCATTAATCGCCGGCACACTGGCTGTTGATTTTTGCATGCAAGTGGGTCAAGTTTATCTATTAAATTTTGATTTTTTTTGCTTTGAATTGACTTAAAATTCATTATCTAATTTTAATATAAATATCAGGAAAAATGTTGGTAGCTGGTGGGATAACAGGGCAAGGCGGGATACTGTATTTTTAACCCGGCAGGCGGTATAAAAATTAGAAAAGCAACAGGCGGTTACAACAAAAAATAAGTTAATAGTTTTTTAAATGTAATTTCTGAAACTCAATTTTTTTTATGAAACCGTACACAAATTCTAAAAATATGTTTCAGGTGCTTTGCTCGTTCGACTGTTTTAGATTAAGCCAATGATTTCAGAAATTGGCTGAGCATCTACCGGGCAGCTGGCCCCTTCAAGCCGTCTTCTTCTTGGCCCTACTTCTCGGCGTTTTAATCAAGATTTACTCCGGAAAACACGTCATGAAATGTGAGTTTCGTAAAGCAAATTGTTCACCGAATTAACGTTAATTATGAAAAGCTTTTTTAAAAAGAGGTTTTTATGAATTACAGTTTTGCTTTGACGTTCGAATTAAGATTGTTCCCAAAATTTTATTGAACTAGTTTTGATGAAACACGTTTTTAAGATTCGTAAAATTGTTAGTTTAATCTTGTAAAAATTGAGTATATATAACTCAAATTCTAAATTTATTTAAAATCTAATTGAAGTCCTCCGCCAACCCCAGTTCCTAAGACGGCTGTGGCTAAATTACCGTAGCCGTCTGCTGCTCGGCGTGTTGGGGATCAATGTGTCGCTGGCTGGTGGGTATTTGAAAAAAGACAGTGTCGATCGATTCATTGAGAATGAACAGGAAAAATTGAATAATAATATTTTTGAAACACTAAATTTTCCCAATTTTTTCGTAAAATTTAAAATCTAAATGCCTATTATGACATCAAATAATAGAAAAATTATAATAGAAACCTATTACAACGTGAAAACCAAATTCGTGAAATTGACACCAAGTTTTAGATTTTCCAGTTTTTGAAATGTAAAACACATTTTGCGGCTTTTTAGTAAAACGACCCTAGAATTTTATTTATTAAAAACTGAAAATTCGCTTCCGCGCTGCTTTAAAGAGATATTTTTATTTTTATTAATTTTATATCTATTCTCTGCTTTATTAAGTTTTCAAAATAATAATCTTATGTTAGCTGTCTACTTCTTCGTCCATCGATACCTCCATTCCAACCAACTAATCGTCTTTTTTGCCGTAACCAATTTGCTGCTCTATGTTGGCTATTACCTCGTCAACAAGGTATAATTCTGCAACATTCATTTTTGGGCCCAAAAATTTCTAATTACGTACTTTTTGATTCTTTACTTACCTTCTTATTAATGTTTTTTAGGTCCATATAAAAGAACGTATCAGTCGACTCTCCGGTTTTGCCATGCTAATTTCGTGCATTTTATGGGCGATGGCTCTCATTGCTTTTACACGCCAGGAAACCGATTGGGCGGTAAGTAATCGATGAATCGATATCGGAATCGATAAATTCAATGGGATTTTGGAGAATGGATAATGAAGTTAAGTGAAACATAACTTTTTTACAACAAATTTTGTTTTTTTAAATTCAGGGAAAGCGGCAGGGGATTTGCATTCACGTTTTCGAAAATCGTATTTCCGAAAACCACTTTCTCGAAAAGTTTTGTTTTGGAAAAGTCATATTCCCTAAAGCCATTCGAAAATCAGAATTTAGAAAATCAGAATTTTCGAAAATTCGCTTAATTAATTAATCAAACTATTAGGGATTGCTTTCTGTTAATAGGGTCGTGGGGACCCTTTATCACTTCTTAAAGGTACTGTGCCAGTACAATTCGTTGTGCGAGAGAATCCTGTGCGTGACACAATTGGGAACGATTGCTCTGCCAATTATCGCGGTTTATCTTCGTTGAAGGGAAACACGTTTTTTCTACACCAAAGATTGGGAGTTAGCGAGTTTATTTGGGACCAGCGGGGGAGGAGCCGCTTCGCGACTCTCCCCCGCTGGATCCCGTCTAGGCCCTATTAATCGAGCGCCCTTCCACATAAAGTTACCTTGAAGAAAGAAAAACCCATCTTCCATGCAAACCTCTTTGTATTGACATGCGGCGCAAGCTTGAAATGCTAGTCTCGTTATTAGGCCTGCGGCGCATGTTTCATCGGCTAGGTCGCTACCTCATCCTGCGGCCCAAGCTTGAGGGATTAGCCTCCTTTTTTGGCCTGTGGCGCCAGCTTGGGCGGTACCTCCCGCTTTAAATCTGAACGGTCACCTCCTTCTTTAAGCCTGCGGCGCTAGCTTCAACAATTGGCTTTATTCTACAGCCTGCGGCGCTAGCTTGTGCGGCTAGTTTCGTTCTAAAGCCTGCGGCGCTAGCTTGTGCGGCTAGCTTCGTTCTAAAGCCTGCGGCGCTAGCTTGTGCGGCTAGCTTCGTTCTGGAGCCTGCGGCGCTAGCTTGTGCGGCTAGCTTCGTTCTGGAGCCTGCGGCGCTAGCTTGTGCGGCTAGCTTCGTTCTGAAGCCTGCGGCGCTAGCTTGTGCGGCTAGCTTCGTTCAGAAGCCTGCGGCGCTAGCTTGTGCGGCTAGCTTCGTTCTGAAGCCTGCGGCGCTAGCTTGTGCGGCTAGCTTCGTTCAGAAGCCTGCGGCGCTAGCTTGTGCGGCTAGCTTCGTTCTGAAGCCTGCGGCGCTAGCTTGTGCGGCTAGCTTCGTTCTGAAGCCTGCGGCGCTAGCTTGTGCGGCTAGCTTCGTTCAGAAGCCTGCGGCGCTAGCTTGTGCGGCTAGCTTCGTTCTGAAGCCTGCGGCGCTAGCTTGTGCGGCTAGCTTCGTTCTGAAGCCTGCGGCGCTAGCTTGTGCGGCTAGCTTCGTTCAGAAGCCTGCGGCGCTAGCTTGTGCGGCTAGCTTCGTTCTGAAAGCCTGCGGCGCTAGCTTGTGCGGCTAGCTTCGTTCAGAAGCCTGCGGCGCTAGCTTGTGCGGCTAGCTTCGTTCTGAAGCCTGCGGCGCTAGCTTGTGCGGCTAGCTTCGTTCAGAAGCCTGCGGCGCTAGCTTGTGCGGCTAGCTTCGTTCTGAAGCCTGCGGCGCTAGCTTGTGCGGCTAGCTTCGTTCTGAAGCCTGCGGCGCTAGCTTGTGCGGCTAGCTTCGTTCTGAAGCCTGCGGCGCTAGCTTGTGCGGCTAGCTTCGTTCTGAAGCCTGCGGCGCTAGCTTGTGCGGCTAGTTTCGTTCTAACGCCTGCGGCGCTAGCTTGTGCGGCTAGCTTCGTTCGGAAGCCTGCGGCGCTAGCTTGTGCGGCTAGCTTCGTTCGGAAGCCTGCGGCGCTAGCTTGTGCGGCTAGCTTCGTTCTGAAGCCTGCGGCGCTAGCTTGTGCGGCTAGCTTCGTTCTGAAGCCTGCGGCGCTAGCTTGCACGGCTAAATAAATTCTAAAGCCTGCGGCGCTAGTTTGGGGGATTAGCCTGAATCCTTAGCCTGCGGCGCTAGTTTCAGTGCCTGGCTGGATTCGTTAGCCTGCGACGCAGTTTAGAGCGACTGACTTCAGAATAGCGCCTCCCTACAGGAAAATACACTTCGAAACATGCATTCCGAGCATAAAGCAAAAAAATACGATTGCCGGGGATCGAACCCCCATAGCAAGATTGGCAGGCTGACGCTCTAACCGCTATACCATGAAATGCTTGGGAGCGCGCGCGCAACACCCCTTGTATGCCCCGAGGTGACTGCCGGGAAAGGGGAGCAAAGGCAATCGGAGGCAGCTCCAATGAGGCAGCCAAACGCGCGAGTGCAACTGGCAAGAATGAGGAAATTTGTATTTTCTCGCATTATGCAAATTAGCCCTCAGGGACCCCAAAAATGAATAAAACCGGCCTTAACTTTGTAAACTTGTATTTTATCGAAATTCTGAAAACGCCATCGGAAACAGAAGGGTCGATTCCCCCGGGTGACGGAGAATTAGGGCATTTTATGCACGGGAAGGCACTCAAATCGAGCCTCGAAAGTGACATCCACACACACACACACACATACGCGACCAAATTATATAAGGTGGGATTTCAGGATTACAGCTTTTTTGTACATGCAATCTTACCTTATATAATTTTGGCGTGTATCTTTGTGTGTGTGTCTGTGGATGTCAGTTTCGAGCCCCGATTTGAGGGCCTTCCCGTGCATAAAATGCCCCAATTCTCCGTCACTCGGGGAAATCGACCCTGCTGTTTCTAATGGCGCTTTCAGAATTTTGATAAAATACATGTTTACAAAGTTAAAGCCGGTTTTACTCATTTTTGGGGGTAATTTTCATAATGTGAAAAAATAGAAATTTCTTCATTCTTGCAAGTTGCACGCGCACGTGTGGTGGGCCGGGGGGAGGGGTCCGAAGGACCCGAGCTATCGGAAAGTCAAATTTCTTATGCAAAGGCCGCATTCCAGTGCCCAAGGCCCGCGAAGCGGGTTTTGGGCGCTGGTCCTTGAAATAATTTTGCTGTAGCTAATCCTGTGTTTCAGCAATAAACGGTAGTGTCGTAGAGGCCAGCCGTTTTACCAAAAAATCCAAAAAAATTATCTAAAAAATAAAAAATTAAATTTAGGTCAGCCCAGCTCTCTCTCGGGATTTAAACTCCGAATGCAGCCTCTTCGACTTTTTTGATCAACACGATATTTGGCATGTATTATCGGCGTTGGCGGCTGGTGGTTCATTACTCGCCCTGGCTACCGTAGACGACCCAACCGCTACCGTACCACGCGCCAATTTGGTTGTATTTTAAAGTTTAAGGGGTATTTCTGATTTTTTATGGAGTTTTATCGAAGCTTAACAAATTACTCATCTGCACTCTTCAATTCATATTGCCCGCAAGAATAATAAGCGCGAACTCAAATTTTAATGAAACATTTGATAATGATAATTGTATTTTTTATTATTTTTTATTCTGATTGATTTCAATTTTGTATATTTTTGCGTTGATGTGCTTTTTTATATTTGAGCTGAGCTCCGGCCTTCGATTTATTTTGTTAATTCTCTAGTGATTTTAAAAACCATTTAATGCCATCTTTTACGCTTTTCCGGTTAATTTTGATCATCTCCACGTGTAGATCTCATACATATTTATTTTCATTCAACGAGGTAACAATAAATAAGAAATACAAAAAAAACAATAAAATAATCCTAGAAACCGCTCGAATATAAATCAAAATAAATAGTTAAATATTTATTTATATTTCTTTAATCGATGGCGATCGCTGTGGTGATCGCGGAAATTGCGACACAGGGTAAACGTCGGGATCCACCTGGAAAATATGAGTTTCAAACCCGCAAGAAAAGTTCCGCAACATCCTAATTGTGATCTTATCGTCGTTATCCAAAAAATTTGCAGGGTAAAATTTTATGGTTAATTCTGACTTTTCAATCTTCCCTAAAGCTTCATAAAACTATTTCTTAAAGCTTAAAACCACAAAAATATATTGTAAATATTTTGAAAATTTTGTGACTTTGTCAAAAAGTATGAAAAAATACCAAAAAGATGCCATTTTTTAATATCGCTCGAACTTTCTAGCGGCAAAGCACCGTACTCAACGCCAAAAAAAGAATGGCGACCGGCCAGAAACACCCTTAATTTCGTTATAACGTTGTAAAGTACATTAGTTAATTATGCAAATCAATATTATTTTAAAATACTTCTGCCACTGTGCATTCCAGTCGCATCGTATCGACCACTGAAAGAAGACCCAGTCGCCGACCTTGTCCGCCTGACCCATCATGCGGATCTTCACAAACGCGAAATGGTCGTCGCCTTTCTAAAAAAGATTTCAGGGTTCTGGTTCCTTATCGGGAGGGGGGGAACACCCCTGGCATATTGACGAAGACAACTGGCAGCTTCCCTTCCCCCACCCCCGGATATTCCTCTCCCCCCCCCGCTAATAAACCAGAGCCCAAGAAATTCTTTAAAACTTAGACCTAAAAACATTTTACCATTAACTTTGGCGCAGAATTTGTGAAATATGCAAATTCATCATGGTAGCGACCTACTCTCAATTTGTAAAATGTCCAAAAAAATCACTTTAAACAACTTTAATTAAATTCACTTTAATTTATTGTCGCATTTTGCAAAGATATGAAACACCATTATCCAAAACGTGACGTTCACTATTTTTTTAAATTTTATAGCGTTTATGTTGATGGCATGAAACAATTTTTTCAAGCTATTAATTTCGGTTAAACGAATTTTTGAAATATTTGAGGCCGACTTACCCGCGCGTAATCAGCCAATTTATCCTCGTCGAATGCCACCACGATTGGGCTTGTTTCGCGTTCACCCGCCAATTCAAACGAATTCTGGAAAGTGGAGGGAATGGGTAGGACGAAAAACGATAACTCCACAAAATACGGGACGCTGAAAATCTTTTTCGGAAATAGAATGTTTCGACAATTTACTGATACACGCCCAAAATTAGCGGCAATAAGGGCCTAAGCAAAGCGACGCTCCATTCGTCAAGAAAATGTACGGGGCCCAAACTTTGGAGGCTTATATCTTGAAAGATAAGACCTAACTTAAAAAAAGCTTGTTCCAACTTGATAGAATGGGAGACGGCGAATCTAATGATACCAAGAACTAAAAGAACTGAGTTCAAAAAGTATCAAAACGAAGGCGGTTTTTATTTCGTTTGAATTTTCTGGGATGTGCCGGGCTCTTGACGGGTCGTTTGTATTGGTGTGTAGCGAACGGCCCTGGGAATGAGATAGCCTAGTAAAAAATTAAAATGCTTATAAAAATCTGCTGCTTCATTGTTAAGGCATGTCCAGTATACCAAAAAATTCGCCCTTTTTCGGGCTACAAAACGAGCTACCGGTCAGGATGCCTACATGCCAAATCGCTGAGAAAATTACGAAAAAAGTAGAGCCACCTATCCTTTTGTCACAAACTGTAGTAAGAAAGTAAAAGGAAACGCCTGGTAGTGATTCTATCGCCAAATTCTATTTTATTTCACTTATCTTTTACATTTGCCTGTCCGATTACCCAACTAAAAGATTCGAACCCAATGTGGCTTGCCGTCACTGTCCGTAAGTGGCTAGTAGCGTCCCGTTGCCATCCCCTCAGACTGCCGAAAATCTATGGGTTTGAATGGGCGTGGATAAGAAAAGGAACGTTTGGCACAATTGTGTCAATGTAAATGAAAGTCTAATATTCTTAGTATCGTTGTCTTCTGTTTTAGTTTTCAGCAGACTCGAAACATTTTCTGGTATAGCTGCTACCTACGAGAGAAGAGAGTGAGAGAGAGGAAGTACGAGAGAGTGATTGATAGATAGCGAGAGATATAGAGAGATAGAGAGGGATAGAACATGGAGGGAGAGAGAGAGAGCGAGAATGAGCGCGAGAGCAAGAGTGGGAGAATGAGAGAGAAAGAGAGAGAGATAGAAGAGAGAGAATGAGAGATAGATAGATAGAAGAGGGAGAGATAGAGAGAGAGGGAGTGACAGAGAGTGGGAGTGAGTGAGAGAGAGGCGTAGTCTGTAAAATACCTTATAGAATCTGCGCTCTTCCTGAAGACCCATTTGGGGGAAATCAAGCTGTGCATTGTAGGGATCGGTGATGAGAAATCGGATGAGGCATGTCTCAGACGTCATGTTCTTTAGCGTAAAGAAGAGTTGCCCGTTCTGCAGGCCATTTGGCGAGAGGACTGAAAAGTGCCAATTTTTGAAGGTATCTGGAACCCATCGGGCTATTTTAAGGTATTTGACGTTGAGTTACGCTATGCTACTATCTTGTACGACTAAGAGTCTTACAACGTACAGTTGGTCTGTATCGGTGGCCGACGTCTGGGAGCGGATTGCTGCTTCTTCAGCGGTAGTATGTCGTATCGGTAACCGATCCGTGTTTCGATGCCCGTGCATACGGTATTCGTCTCGCTGCGCGCATCGTCATCATCGTCTGCAAGAAAGGAAGGGTTAAATAATACCCTACCAGGCAGGTGTTGATTATGATAAAAACGATTCCATTCCGATACTCATAACGGGCTGAATCCCAGTTCTGAACTCGCCTGCCGATCGCAGATCCCGGTAGCTGCGTCGACTGGCTCGGGAAAGTGAGCGAGTGGGACGGGCGCTGCTGAAATATTTTCTTTCGTGTGTTCTAATAAACTTCTTTTAGGTAAAGATTGCTTAACGGGGGGGGGGGGGACAAATAACGGGGGTGAAAACCATTTTTATCTATAGGGACCTGTCGTGCCAATTTGGGCATGCCATCGGATAGAACGTCGTAAAATATACTAAGAGAATTAATTTCTGCCCGAAATAATGTAATTTAAATTAGTTATTAAAGAAACAAAGCTATGGGCCGTCCATGACGTCGTAATTTTTGGTATTTTTACTGTTTTAACGGGATTTTATGAATGCCATCGGATAGAGCGTCAAAAAATGTACTACAAGATTGAGTTTGAGACCGAAATATCCTATCCTATAAGCGAGAAAAGTATGTGTGTTTTCTGTACAGCCGATTTCTCGGCCGTTAGGCCGAATTTCCGGCTGATTTTTGGCATGGAGGTGGAGAAACACATTTGTCAGTGACGCATTTTTTTGTTTTTCGAAATTCCTTCATTTAACGATTTTACAAGCAAAATAGTGCAAAATCCTTAACAACTTGGCCGAAAAAGGTTTGTTCAGAGGATATCTCTCGAGCCAAATGGAATTAGGCGCTAATTTTTGGAGGGCAGATTGAAAATTACATTCTCCTGTGATATAATTCTGGGTTTTGGCAGATTTTGTAATCTAAAATTTTTATGAGCATTTTTCCAAAAGGTCCTTAACAAAATGGGCCAAGAGCCGTGGTGTCCGGGGCATAACTCGAAGCCCAGATGGAATTTCCGGCTGAAATTTAGAACACTTATGTATTCGGTATTGGGGACCATGCGCAAGCAGTTAGTTTTTAAAAATATTGTAATTCCGTTGTATAAAATGCACATTTGTAAAATTGCTTTTTGCCAGCTGCTCAGGGCCAAATTGGAGTAGTTGGCCGGCTGGAAAGATAGAGCAGAACCTGATGAATCTTGACTCTTTTAAATTTTTAAAATTGGTGGAATTTCCGGGGCGATAGAGCCGTTTTTGTTTCGGAGAGGGCCGCCCTTTTGGAGCGCCTGGGGAGTACCCCTCTGTGTCCCCAGCCCGTCCCGACTCGCCCCCCACCTAACCCACTCCCAGGTGATAACCCCCAAGGTTTTCGAGCGCTGCCGGGTGGCTGGCCGAAAGGTTAACACTGAACAGCCACCTTCCTAGAGCGCCCCAGCAATGGGTGACGAATTTTTGGCCGATACGCTCAAGGGGGAGTCGTCCTCCGATGGTCATACAATTTCAAACGCTCGCTCCCTTGGGACGCCAAGGGGTTCAGCTAGCCTGTTGCTGGACAAGCCAGACCCGGAAGGGATGGTTCGGCCTGACGGTCGTAATGTCGGTCCTGTTGGCACCAGTACCGATCTGCCGGACCCGGTAAGGGTGTCGGAAACAGCTGAGCCTCAGCAGGGTACGAAGAAGAGAGGGCCTGCCGATTGGACCCGAAGAGGTAGCAATACCGAGGTTCAATTGGCTGGGCGAGTAGCGGCACCCTCCAGCTGTTTTCCGGGACAACACCCCGCGGCCTATCATCAAACACCGCGGCATCCCATGCAGATCGTGAAAATGCCTTCGGTGCCGAATACCAGCAGTAACTCGACCGGTACACACCATACGGGAAAGAAGCTGTCTGACTCGGGATTTTTCGTTCCGAACCTGCGGCAAACGCTGGACCCTGATTCTTCGAAGCTTTGGGTGCCTCGACAGCAGCTAGTGGAACCCGCGCCTGTTCCAAGACCTGAGCCTGTGCAAATACAGAGAGGGAAGGAAAAGATTAGTCGCGCGGAACGTGTACAACTGAGGTTGGAATACGACCAAAGTTTACAGCGGACCCCGGCCGATCCTGTACTTGCTCAAGGTCCTGTCGATGTGCCTGAGGTTTCGTTGAGCCAGACTCCGAGTTCACGCGAGCGACGGAAGCGAAAGTCTGACGCGGAAGGCAAAAGGGAACCGCGAGTCGGAGGAACCCCTGAGGAGCATGAATCCCAACTCGCGACAAGGCGTGCGAAACGCTTGCATAGCTCCCAGGGAACTCCTGATCAATCGCACCTCCCATCGCAGTCCGTCGAAGGCCTAGCCAACGTCACGCCTCTGTCTCGCCTCAATTCCCAGAGAAAGGCTAATGCGGTGCGCATGAGAGAATTACGTGGCAAAGAAACTCCTGAGGAGCGCGAAAATCGCCTCGCAAAAGTTCGTGAAGCCAAAAGGCTCAGCGACCCTCAATGGAGTGACTGCGACACGCATGACTCAGCGTCGACTCCGAACCGTCATGCCACAATTTCTGAGGAAGCAAGGGAACGGTCAAAGCGAGACTCAGCCACTGCCCGGGTGAGGATGCTGCGTGCAAATGAAAGCCCAGCTGAGCAAGCCGCACGGCGAACCAAGGACCTCTACGCTAAAAGGTTGCAGGAGGCTCGGTTGAGTACAAGTGAACGTGCGAACCAGAATATCGCTCGGGCCGCGCGCGTAGCGGCAAGGCGCTCCAGAGAATCGCCTCCTCGGCGTTCAGAGCGTCTCAGTCGAAATGCGATATCTACGGGCAGTTCACGACACCGAGAATCCTCATCCCAAAGAGTATTGCGTCTGGAGGCAAATTCTATTCGGACCGCGGCTCACCGGCAGCAACGACGCCAGACGGCCGCTGCGCGCGCAGGTGCTGCCCGGAATCCGGATGCGTTTCCCCCCATCCACTATCTTGGCAAGCCGGACATACCTTGCAGTTGCTGTGGCGCATTGCATTACGCAGTCGAAACAAAATCCTCGAGCGGCAGTTTCCATTCGTGTTGTGGTCATGGCAAAATCGCTATTTCGTTGTTCGACAATTTCCCCCAAGAATTGGAAGATCTTTACAAAGGGGATACTCGAGAATCGAAAGATTTTCGGGCGAACATTCGGAATTACAATAGCGGTCTAGCTATGGCTTCAATGACGGCCCAAATGGATGCTCCGCCCGGAAGAGGACCACGGCCTTATCGGATCCATGGAGCAGTGTACCATTTGGTCGGCCCTATGAGACCACAGCCTGGAGAGCAAGCCCAATATGCCCAGATCTATATTATGGACACCGAGCAAGCGGCCAACGAGCTAGCCGGTCGTGCCATCAATCGGCACTGCGATCAAGGCCTCTTTGCCAACCTCCATCTCCTCTTGCAAAACGTCAATATCTATGTTCAATCATTGATGATGATGGCAGAGGTGTCCAAGGAGGAGTCTGATCAAGCAGCTGCCGATGGGCGGGAAGCTCTCTCAGCGCAGTTGGTCTTTCGAACAGATAAAAGGGACGACCAAAGACGGTTCAATGCGCCTACATCCAATGAGATTGCCGTTGTTTACGTTGGTGACGATGAGTCGATACCCGGCGAGCGCGTGTTCTATATCCACGAGCGAGACGGCGGCCTCAGGCAGATCCACTACTTGCAGAAAGAGTGCGAACCACTCTGTTATCCTCTCTTCTTCCCTCGGGGTGGAGAGGGGTGGCACCCTAACATTCCGAAGCAAGTGGGAAATGCTGGCCGTCGTGGTAACTCTGACGATGACGAACCGGCTATTGCTGATGACGGTCCGCCGAACCGGGTATCACAAAGAGAATATTTCGCCTATAATATGTTCGTCAGGCAAGGCTTCAATCCTATTCACCACGGCGGCAAGCTTTGCCAACAATATTACGTGGATGCCTTCGCCAAGACCGAACAAAATAGGCTTAATTATTATCTGACTCACCAGCGTGAACTTCGGCTGGATACGGTCCGTGGCCTCACCGATCACATGAATTCTCATGGTCAAGGTCCTGCAGGCAGAAAGATTATTTTGGGCGCCGGTCATCAAGGCAGTGGTCGAAATTCGGTCGGACACTATCAGGATTCAGTGGCCATTATGACCAAGTACGGAAAGCCAGATCTCTTTTTAACCATCACTTGCAATCCGAACTGGCGTGAAATTCAGGAAGGTCTTTATCCAGGCCAGACTGCAATTGATCGTCCAGATTTGGTTGCAAGAGTGTTCGAATTGAAAATGAGAGCACTCGATGAGGAACTTTTCAAAAAGCACATCCTCGGAGAAATGGCTGCCTACGTTTCGGTGATTGAGTTCCAGAAACGAGGGCTTCCGCACCGTCATATGGTCCTATTTTTGAAGGAGGATTCAAAGCTCAGAACATCTGACGAGGTTGATAGTATCATCTCAGCTGAGCTCCCTGATTCCGACACTAATCCTGAATTGTTTCAATTGGTTTCGACCAATATGATCCATCGACCTTGCGGTGCCCATAATCCTTCATCGCCCTGCATGCAAGACAATACCTGTACTAAAGGATTTCCAAAAGAATTCAGAGACACCACTCTGATTTCAGACGGTTATCCAAAATACAGACGCCGAGACCAGGGAAGGACTGTTCGGTATACGGTGAACCGGGCGGATGTCGTACTTGACAACCGTCACGTCGTGCCTTACAACCCTTACCTCCTGCTTCGGTTTGGTGCCCACATCAACCTCGAATGCTGCTTCTCCTTTGACTCGGTCAAATACCTCTTCAAATACGTCTATAAGGGTACTGACAGAGCTCGCTTCCAACTTCGGGATGCCAACCATGATGATCTTGGACCGGTCAATGAGATCGAACGGTACATACAAGGTCGTTATTTGTGCGCTCCCGAAGCTTGCCATCGTCTTTTTGCATATCCCATGCAAAAGAAGAGCGACAAAGTCATCCGACTTCAAGTACATCTTGACGGATTTGAAAATGTGGTGTTTGACCCAGAAGATGCACAGGCGGCACTGAATAGAGCTCGCACTCATAAGACCACGCTGAGCGCATTCTTTGCCATCAACACGCATATGCAGCATTTGGAGGACACCGGAGCAAGGACGGTCACGGTTAACGGTCAAAAGTGTCTGCAGATCGGGAGAAGGAGGGACGCAGAGAAGGTCTTAGATTCCAGAGAATTTTTCTATGGCCAGATGCCAGAAAAGTATCGTATCGTCCAAGGCAAATGGGTGCAACGAAAG